TGAAAACGTCGAGAACAAGTACTCAATAACAATACTACGACGGCTGAACAAGTCGAAAACCAGGCTTTGCAAAATGGCCGCGAACGCTTTTTACGACCTATAGTAATTGTTTCAAAAAGCCGGTTTCACGGAATCATTGTTAGGGTTAATTGTTTCATATCATCATAACATTGATGAGTACCTTAGACATATTTTCATGATATAAGATGCGACAAATAAATGTTGGTAACTAAACTTTAGGATTCAGAAAAAAGTAAACGAATCTAGAACTAAAATCAATCAATCGATAACAGATAATCAAAGAGATGTACAATACCAATAACTTAAGTCAGAAATAGTCTGTTGTGATTAAGTACATGTATGGGTGTTACTTAATAGGTGATACCCCAGCCACACCGGGCATTGACATTTTACAGTCTTTCCAGTTCGTGACCAGGACGGAATTAACATGTTTCGTTTCATATCCATATTTACCATACGAAGACTAACATATCTCAGATTTTTTTACCCTACCCTTTGTAGGGCTACAGAGCTATCAACGCGCCTCTCGTTTCAGCATTATAGAAACACTTTAGTGTATTAGAAATTCTTTTTAAATAGACATTGTTTTTCCTTACCAAACGTTGGTAAAATACTAACGCTATGTGCGATAAACCGCTGTAAAGTTAACTCATGATCGAATCGTAAAACCGTTCGTGATCGCAGCGTGAAAAATGAATTAAACCCTGTATTGAATCGTACATAAATTATAAATAACGTTTTCTAGTCATCGTATTGATAACGCTGCACGATATGAAGAAACAGTAATTCTTTATAATTAATAACTACAATTCTTCCACTTCGGTACCTATCAATAAAATTGCGATATCATTCTGTTATTTTTAATTTCCAGCAACAGTGACAATCATGTTTTGTGTTGTAGTTATAGAAACCGAATACAAACATAAAACTACAAAGGACACGACTTTGTAAGACGTTAATATAATAACTAATAATTAATAACACCTTGAAAACTCAACTGTCCTACATACAACATTTACATATTTTAAACGTGATAGATATTATTTTCCAGAAACGAATAATATAAAAGACCTAAAGGGTTTGCCGTGAAAAATTACGTGGTTACATTTGTATAGTTTATTATTTTTATACTCTTCTCTTCGCGAGTCACAATAGTATACATGTTAATATTCAAACTTGTACAGTTTGATTTAAAGCTAGCTTAATTTAGACGTCATTTTATGTATATCTGCTTGATGGAATCGGTCATACAGACTTGACAACAACCCCAGTTAACAACAATGGAAGCTCGCGTGATCTATATTAAGCAGTACAATAGCTCAATTGCTCGTCTAAACGGAGCAACAACAGCAAATAAGATATTCATCTTCTACCAGCGATAGGATGGAAGATTTTGGCAAACCCTATTCATATTACGTTCAATCCATTATCATGTTAATAAGTAATAACTTTAGGGCATTTTTAGGACATCTTTAAAATCTTTTCATATATGTTTAGAATTTTAGAAATGTCTTGGTACATTTGTTTTTTCTGTTTTCTAACGATGGAAAATACGTACCTATTATTATTAATGATATAATATTCAGGTAATAATACTATTGGACCTTGTGTTTGCTTTAACACAACACACCTTAGTCCTAAAACATTTGTAATTGCAATCGTAAAACAAGAAATTTTAAACTTTAATGATGATAATCATAAAACTATGGCATTTATACAGGATAGCGACGTGATTTTAATTGCACTTTAAGAATTCATTGAAACAGTTATAATAGTATTTTGTGTTAGGCTTTCACTGCCATCGTTCAGCATATATTGTCTTTCGCGCTGTTCGGATGATAGAAGATAGATAGAACCTCTTCTCGCTCAGGTCGGCCGAACAGACCGAAAGACAATGATATGCATTTATAATAGTATTTAAGTAAAACACGTAACGGTTTAAAACGCAATTTAAATTTGTTAAGCTATACGTCTCTCCGTGACTGCTGCAAAGCATCCGAAACGTCAGGCTGCAGTTAAAATAATTCAATAAGTTTAACTAACCTATACCGCGTTTTAAACCGTTAAAGTATTTAATTTAAGTATGTACTAATCGCTTAAAATACAGACAGTATTACGTATAATAGTAATTAATAGTTTTTATTATATTGAACGATTTTTCGTTAATTAGACACAAAGTTAATTAGTAATTGCTGAAAACGTATGTTATCGATAATTATTTTATTAGAACATTTGTTGTATAGACAATACAATTACTTAATAAGGGGGAATGGGGAATCAAATGAAACGGTCAGTAGTTTATTTATTACCTTTGATGGATGACACTAACAGAAAATATATATTCGTAAACAATACGATCGTTAGCTAATTCTCACGCCAGCGAAAATGGGCCTCGTGACATTTAGTAGGGAAAGCACGTCGCTATGTAAGGCGTGCATGGAAAAGTGGCAAAAACTCGCTGATCTTTATGTTCATTTGCACTAGATTAAGGCCTCGTAATGCATTCGCAATCATTACTTACGCAAATGAGAACCCTGTCTTGGTACAAGACAACTGGGACCCACTTTCATCGAGAAATAATGACGCTGATCAGAGTTGACCGATCGTTAAATCTGAGTTTTTTTTATAAAGTTTACATCGGTGAGCCAAGAACTAACAACCTCTTTCTGAATTTATACATTAGTTTTTCAAAGAGAAATAAAAGGTTTTAATCAGCGTTAACCTATAAGTATTTTTAGTAGGAACGTAAAGGTGGTTCGATTTAAATGATAACTGAGAACTATAATATCATTCATAAATTTTAAAACGTCATAGTCGGCTTGTGTAGCCCAAAAACCTACATAGAGTGCATACATTGAATATCATTTTGATTGTATTTAAATTACTAATCTAGAATTAATTGTAGCCAAGAAGCTGGTACCAATTTCGCTTTTACAAAGAAAGAGAAAATCGTATCGTCATCCGTTACTAACAATGAACATTCTGCAACATGAAGCTAACAATTTGATATTGATATACAATTTATATTTCAATTACACGAAGCCTTAATCGAGCGAAAGAATGGAAGTTTATAGATACCACACAACTTACGAGTTGTTAAGTCACAAAATGGTCCAAATGATATCTTTATAAATAAACTATATTAAAACATTTATAGGGAAAACTTTATTTTGTTTAGATTTAAGGCAAAAGCAGTCGCGGTGTACTGCATTAGTTAATCGTTGTAATTTGCAATGAGGAATATGTGCGCGGAAAATGGTTATTTGCGCAACTACGGCAAGCTACTATTATTATTAATCGTAGCAGTAAACGCTGCAGTCTCCAGCTGCAACCACCGTAACGCGTTACGTCACGTCAAGGTGGTTGTTCTTGGATCCTTGTGGGGGTCTCGTTTACAACAACAGTTCGTAATAATTAACTCGTCAGATTTGACGAGAGCTTGTAGAGACTAAAACAGTCAGTACCTACTGTTTTATTTTTTTTACTTGCTGTACCATAGCTTTTATACCTGACTGAAGCCTATCATATATAATTGAAGTATATCTTTCACGATATGTCGAAATATTTTTCGAATCGAAAACAAGCTTATCTTACTAGACCGCCAGACAATGTAGTTCGATTATTATAATATCAATGCAATTAATAACTTATTTGGGGCGTAAACTTAAAGCATATTGAGTTTAAAACACACTGAATAAATTATGGAAAAAAGCGAAAGTAAAGTACACATTAAGCCAGTTTTTAGGTCACACTTCACACGACGCGAGCGCAGTTTGAATGAGAGATAAAGTTTTAAGAAATCGCTTTCGTCTACTAACAGTTGAGAGTATTCTTTGTGCATAGTCCAGTGCATAATTTGACATACAATATGTGTACTAAGATTATCACTACATAGTAAACGTCTTTTTTCTGTCACTATGTACGCTTAAATTTTGTAAACTAGTTTTTATACACAACGTTCACAGATTCTTTATAAACTAATGTTAGACTAGCAAAGTAGCTCATTTACTTATGTATTTATTGCAATTGAATATTCATAACTTGCTGGAACTTCTTAATGAACCTCTCCGAAGTTTTTATCAACATAATAATATTACGAAACGTCCATACGTTAACTAGATGTCTTTTTAATTACATAACACCAGTTTACTTTTAAATGGGCGGTTAATTTTTGTGGTGGTTATATCGTGTTTGTCATCGCAGATCTTAAACACAGATCTGCATCAGAGCGTGGTAAGGTATATAGACCGAAAACAGGTCAACTAGAGCTAGCTAGAGGTCAACCTGTGCGCGAAATCGGTTTTGAGGTTACCCAAATTTTAGCTGTTCCGATTTCTTTAAATTAAATGATATGGTAACACCACCATTTTTAATTATTTATCCGTTAATTTATTAAAAGATAGTAAATTATGTTAACTGCTTATTATATTAATGAAGTACTGCAAACGATTAGCCTTATTTCGTTAAACATTATATATTAAGGAGCCCTTACAATGCCTTAATATAGACTTGTAAACCAACAAATTGGTTCAACAACCGATAATTACCCTATAACAAATTGTACGATAATTATGTCTGCTCCACTTTGAGTACCTAGAAACGACGGAATTCCGATTTCGTTCCTTCGTTAGAACTATTATTTTTAATGGACTAACCGCAAAAATGTTAATGTTTCATATGTTATACGGAAACAAGATACCTATGTTGTTGTAAATCATACATGAAGTTTTAAAAGTGTATATATCTCACAACATTCATTCGCGACATCATTAGCATTAAATAGCCAATATTTGTATGTAATATTTGGGAACTATAACAGAGACGTTTTTAAAGAAGCTATTAAGTACTAACGACTAAACTAAGCTGGCTGGAAAAGACTAAACATTGCAACAAAGCCTAAAATTAAACCCATTGGAAAAAATCGTCTGGCAAAGCAAGATTAAACTTTTCGATTTAAATTAATTGAATAAAATACTCACGGCCAGGTGCCCGAACGACGCTGTCTATGATGACGAAGTTGGGGCTCCGGCTGAGCGTGCAAGAGCGCTTGAGGGATGAGACTCTTCGACGGTTTCCTCTTGAACCTATACTCCGCCCTCTCCGCACTCTTACAAAGCCTCAAAGCGGACAATTCCGTCTCAGAACTACACCACAATGACTCCATTGATAGCATTGTTTACAAAACTTTGCGAACGAAGTTTAAAGATTCATAACGCGTTTTCGGTTGCACAATATTTAGGCGCGGTGGTCGGCTTCCCACTGCGGGCGTTGCAAAATTTTGCACTCGAACTTTTGAATATTGCAGTGCGGGGGAAGCGAAGAGCTCGAGCGAAATACGAGCGGCAGTGACCCGCCGATCACACGTTGACGTGCCTCTGGCGTGACTAACCAACTGACGCCTGACTGATAGCGAATTAGACTCCTTTCAGACAACACAATGATATAATGGCGTACAATCGCATAACAATATCGTGCTTAATAGTGAACGCACTCATAATTAATTAATATAATAATAACGCTGGTTGGTTCACACTATTCTTCAAGCATACAGGTACCCCATTCTCATAAATCCTAACATTACTATAGCAAAATTGTATAGTCTGAAAAGACCTTACAACCAAACCTTATATATAAAAATGATATGAGAACATTGTACAGAATTGAAAACTTTGCTAAAATATTTATGGTTTCCTACAGATAATGGTTAATTAAAAACAAGCAATTTAATTAAATTAAGTGGAAAACATTACATTTAAATATTAATTGCATGCGATTTGGCAATTGCAAATTAATATAGAAGGACTAAAATAACAACTAAATACAAAAAAAAATACGATTATGTTACTCCTACCATATCATTGATACTGGACTGACTAACTGGCAAATAATAAAAATGTTTGGTTCTCTACACTGTACTAAGAATCTGTAGAACTTTCTATATATTTTTTTAGATAAATCTCAAAAATAAATTACAATTTCAAACAGATTACATAAAGGAATTCTTATTTGCATTAAGAAAGTGTTGTCATCTCATGCATGCAAGATAGAATGGAACATTCACTGAAAACAATTGTAATAAAATTAATTTCAGTTTTAGAATTACTATTGTGAAAGTTTGTTGAGTCATCTCAATTAGACTAATTAAAAAATATGTTTAATTTATTATTGTTTAATTATATAGATCTACATGTGTTTAATATTATTAGTGCATAAAGAGAATATTTTCAATTTTTTACAAGGTAAAGAAACAAAGTGACATAATTTGTGGCACAGTGAAGAATAAGATTGAAATAACAAAATATATTTGTAAATACTTTTTTGATTGAATAGGAATAGTTTAACTAAATATCACTCATGTAAATAACCTGGTATATGACCTACTCCTGATAATTAAGCATGGGTTAGAACGGTATTAAGTAAAAATTTAATATATATTTGGTTTCAAGTAATTAATATAATTTTAAAACTTTTAGCATAAGATGTATACTAATAGTAACGTCATATATATACCTAAAGCTGAAAAGTAGATGTTTACCTTCAAAGGTTATGTTTTGATTTAACTTAAAGAAACTAACACAATGAACTAAATACTGCGATAATAATGTTATGATTTATTACCTCTCCTCTTCGTCGTCAGTAACTTTGCTTGTACTGGGATATTTACACCTTTTATCCATCTTCAAAGCACTCGCAACACATTATACTATACAAATAAAAAATCATATTTAAAATATTCTCATATCTTTTATTATTGACCCCGTCACTAAATAGTCGCTTTTATTTAACTTTATTTTTTTTAATTAACAGTCTTTGTCAATACAATTTATATTAATATAATTAAATATTGAGTTAAAGTTTAAAATATGATACGAAAATAGTCATTGGTTGCCACTACAAAACATATTGCTTGTCAAAGCTGTCAATTGTAAAACGTGCAAATTGTCAGTGGTGTAATATGTCAAAAAACTGTCAATTGTTTTTCAACCATGTTAAAAATTAAAAAGGCGAATCGCCAACTTTGCTCTTTATCTTTATTAAGGAGTTTGTAATTTCTAAGGTTGATGAAATGTGGCATCGTTATGCCTACATATAACTTAGTACTGATGAATGTGATAAGTTAAATGGTAAATATTCGCTGCAGAGCAAGATATTATTAAAGGATATGTACTATTTGTTGTATTCATAACTATCGTTAATGCAAAGTACGTATTAAGATCGATCACTACTCACCGAAAGGTATTAAGTTTGTCACCAACATTGTTGAGTGGATTTTTTCGCAGCGGTCCAGGTGACCCACCTGGTGAACTGTCCCTTGACTCGGCTGCCAGAGCCCGCGCAACAATTAAATCTTGCTCGTTTAACATCCTACAAAATCAAGAAGTCGTCTTATTTTTACACCTGAGTTTTTTGTAACCTTTCTAGATCAGGCGCCATTAACATAGTAAGTATGTATACCAAGATTGGTTGTTCATTTACTTCAAAGAGATATTTCATCAAAGAGTTTTGCTATTTAATAAGATTTTAGACCTTTATACACATACCTTTATATGTTATTAAGTCAAAAGTAGACGTGGCATTAATGGAAACCGCCAAATGTTGCAGGTTCGAATCCTGCTACTGACATGAATTTCTGACATCCTTTTTAAGGTACTTTTTTATTTCTTGATGTCAGAACTTTTTACTCTAAAATAATAGAAGAGGGTCCTAAACAAGGATAATTAATTTAGCACACCTTTATTTTTCCACATCACATTCAATTTACCATACCTTATAAAGTGAATAGGTATTCCTTAATCATTATTAAAACGTGACTATGAAAATTATCTTAGCATATTCAAATTCTCGAATGCGTCACGTTCTGCAAAAGTAAATAAAAAATTACGTATAAATCGGAGTTATTATTACGATATATTTGTCAGGAAATTAAAACACAGAAAGTATTTAAATTTCTTGGGTATCCTGTGATAAAAAGGTGCCTAAAACCCCGACCCAAATAATTATCTTCATTTGTTTGTTAAATATATTTTGTTTAAGGAGATTAAAGTACGGCAAGAATAATAAAAACACAGTTAGGTCGTCTCAGGTATCTGTAGAAGGTTAACTTTTATAGTTTTGTTTTTCTACGACAGGACGGAGAGGCTTAGACCTCACATGTGGTGAGATGCCCCAAGCCTCAGTAAGATGCCCCAAGCCTTAGTAAGATGCGACTATATTGATCTTTGAGTTCAGGATGTCTAAAGACTAAAATAGACCCGAATATTTCACTTTTCGGCTTTTCTATAATAATCAATGTCAAAAGGGTACATGTATGCTAAGTATCTATAATCTATATACCTCTCCACAGTAAAAGTAGTTCGGTTTGCGCTGATGAAATTATCGTGATTTTTGAAGGTGAACTAGTCAAAAAGGTAGAATCAATTGAGATTAACGAGCAATGTAGTTACAGATCAAGAACATAGCCTACGGTTACCTTTTTTTTCAAAAAATATACATACTTATAAAACATAACTATTATAGCGCAAAAACAAATTACGTTCGTACTAGACTTGCAATACTTGTATGAATATTAGATGTTATTAGGTGAACGTTTTTAGTTTAAGTCCAGATTTTGACCAAATCCGGGCCTTGAAACTAATTTTAAAAAAGTTTTATTGATTTATACAATATTAAACTCATTATGAAAAGTTTAAAAAGAAAACATTAACATTTTATCAAATAGAATATCATTTGTAATGACAAAATGACCAGTTTTAAATTTCGTCCATCGTTCTTGAAGAAACTTTAAAAAATATGTATATATAAGACGATGTAAACACGACGTTTTCCATAATAAACTAAAAGTAAATAATAGCTTACCTGGCGTATTTTTTATACACAATTAAGTAAAAACAGCTTGAATCCGAAACGTATCACGTAAAATTAAGGCACATGTTTGTAAGACAATTTAAAAATAGATCACGTTTACATAGATCGAAAAAATTGACGCGTGTGCACACGAGAGCGATTTGTATTACAATGCTCATACGTTTATTTTTACTAGGGGTCGATTAGGTTAGCTGCAGGTACAGCATCCGTCAATGAAGTGAGTCAGGGTCGTAAGCCTCTCACTTAATTCAATACCAAGCTATTAGTTACCCATTAAATTAGATCTATAGATTCAATCGGCTTAAACTTACAATACCCTAAGAACCACACAGAAAAGCTTGGACTTCATGATGGTAGGTGGAATACCACCACTATATAACAACAAAACAAGATGCGCTGTCGACGTCGCTATTTTGGCTTTGGATATTCGGAAATCCACAACCGAAACGCGAATAAACTTCACGGCCTTTTCTTCCGTGGACGGTGGGTCGTGCCCCGGGCGGAATTTCGATATTCCAACCCTCCATGGTTTCAAGACGAAGTCCAACCTGTTTCACAATAACTATAAATTAATAAGAAAAGATTTTGGATCCGGTGGGGACCAACGATCCGTTGGTTATTAACCAACAAGCCATCTAAAACTTTTTTGCTTGCGCATTCAAAACATTATAAAAGATTTTGTCAAAAAAATTAAGGCAAATTATATCTTATATTTATGTTAGTGTAAAAGAAATGGATTGCGCATTAAATTAAACAATCAACGTTACAAAAAATCAACGCAACCTTAGTTTAAACTTGATAAGGTCATAAAAAGATAGATTCTTTCTGTCTACTGAAAATAAGACAAGTATATAATTGATGTACTGCATACAGTACGTGATCAATCAAGTTACTAACACACTTGTTTGTTTTCTAGGACATTATCTCAGACCACCCGTTTACTTTTTGAATAATAAGGTTTAAAAATATATTTAAGTAAATTTAAATAAAACGTATACGAAGTATTATCAGTAATGAGAATATAAATAATATTATGTATTTACCTATGAAACAAATGTTTGCACTTACAAACTGTTACACAAAATAATATAAACATTTTCTCTTCGTCATCGTAAAAAAAGTGAATTTAAATGAGGCCGCTGGAGGCAATAGCCTAACTGCAATTTTATGACTAGTCTAAAAATGTTAATCTACAAGAGCACAGTGACCGAAAATTGTTAACATAGTTCTTACACAAATAACACTACTAATTTATTTCCGCCTAAGTTAATTTCGGTTTTTGTCTTTAGGCCACTCTGCCCCTAGCAGCCTCATTTGTAAATAAAACTTGTATATAATCCATATTCTTTATTGTAAAATATAATTAGGTACAATTAGTAGAAATTGTCATGACACTATTCAAATTAAGGATACTAAAGTAATCATGAATATCTTCCAAGAGATATTAACATTGGAAATAACTAAGGGATAAAATAAAAACTTCTTAACAAATTAAATTTTAGATTAAAATTATACTCTCCACTCCACTTAAGCATTTTAATTTTTTCGCTGAGAGTCGGCAGTTATCACACAAATGCGAATTACAAAGTTCTTACGTAAGGCTAGGCGCTTATATTTAAACATAGGTACCAAATTACATAAAACTAACAATAAAGATGTTATCAAATAACGCTAAAAATTATAAGTACTTAATTAATTCAAATAAGTGTATAATGAAATCCAAATATCTATCCTTAGCATGTAACTGATCTATATTGAGATTATGATATGCCGACTTAATCCACTTTAAGAACATAAAATGATTTAATTGAGTCACCATTATTTGTGATAAACCTAAAAGGCGATAGTAGAACTACAGACACGAACAATTGACAGTAGAATCATCAGTCTTCTAGTCACTTCAGTCAAACACTTAATATTTGTGCGACCTTGGATCACAATTACGTGACGTCACAGTCCATGGTTTTTCACAACCAGGGACTAAACCTGGAGCCGCCGGGCCCCGGAGAATGTTGCAATGGTATCACTCGCGCGGTTATCACGCCCCGCGCTGAGCGACGCCTAAAGTTGGGCTTCGGTCGAGTTCTGCCATAGGTTTGACGGGAGGGTGTCGTAGTGAGACGGCACCGTCAGCAACGCGTCCGCTGATGTCCTGGTTATAGAGCAATTCTGAAAAAGATTAAATGTTCATATCATATACATACGACAACAAAACGGGTTAATGACCAATAGTCTACAAGACAAGACCGACTCTAGTCTGTACACACACAAAAGCAAGTTTCTTAGATTAGTCAGACAAGTTTTTCAGGACAAACGAGCATGAGGGCTTACTTTGGAAGATAAAATATCCCAGTGATATAAAAGTGTAATCCCGTTTCCCTTCGTGGGGCATAAGGCGAACACACGTCTGTGTCCGTTTCACTGATCGGTTTTATTTACAGGCAAGTGGTTGATCAGACTTCTGTGCCCTGCCCGATCGAAACAACTTACTGTTTCCCCGGGATTCGAACCCAGGATCTCTCGCGCTTAACACAATGCTAGGCGACACGTTTAATCATTTAGCTACAGAGGCGGATGTTTTGTTTTATTAATTATAACCCACATCTAATAAAAGTTTTAACTGGTTAAAACGCCAAATTTTGTCGTGGTCAAAGCAGCCATAACCTTGCACAAAAAGTGATAGATGTTTCCAAGTATCCGAAACGTCAGGTTGTAGTCAAAATAAATTCTAAATAAGTCAAGCCATATTTCTCGTTTAAAACACTAAAAAGTAATTTAATTTTGTACTACTCGCGTAATTAACAGACAATACTAAATGTACTTAATTACTTAACAATACTGGATAATCCGTAATCACCACAGAAAACAGAGGCACTCACAGTTAAAATATTTACAAAGGTATTTTACAAACAACATGTGGTGCTGCCTAGTCGTGTGCATACATGTTTCAAGGTCTTAAAAATAAATTCAACACATAATATTTACCTTAGGCTGTTTGCGATGCGTATCAACACATTCTATCGGCAATTTGATCATTTCCACCTTGTACTTGTAGCCATATGATGTCAACTTAACTATGGTGTGAAGGGGCACGGTCATATATGGCAACTCGTCTGTAAAAGAAAAAAATTAGAAATTAAGTGTTACTTAAAATCGAATTTTAAATTACGACATGCGCAGGACTTGAACCATTATCTAAAGCGTTCCGTGCTGATGCTCTACCCAATTGAGCTACCGTGTCCTACACGTCATAATTGAATTTTTTCAACCTACTGTTACAACCACCTGTTGCGAAAGTAAATATAAGTTTAAATAAAACACTTTAACGGTTTAAAACGCGATATATTAGTTAAACTTATTTGAAAATGATTTTTAACTTCGGCCCGACATCTCGGATGCTTTGCAGCAGCCGTGGTCACGAACTAAATTGTCTCTCTATAACGTATCTACTGCTGTATAGAAACAACAAATGAACTTTTAAATACTTCTTACATTGATAGCTTAATTTAGTAAAGCAAACTTGCATTATATAAGTAACGATAGTACTGTTACAGTTTGTTTTTTACGTAACCGCTACAGGGTGGCATATGTTTTAAGAATATGCGACAAAAAAGTATCGGCGTTATGTAACAGGTGTTTTGAAATTGTAGATATTATTATATACCAATTAAAAATCAGTTTTGAATTGAAAAAAAAAATACACAGGACTTGAACCGGCAGCCACAGCGTTCCGTGCTCTTGCTCTAAACAATTGAGCTACCGAGTGCTACACGTCATCATCGAATTTTTTACCATGTACCTCTTGCGTAATATAATTTTAACATTAACTAGCAATCAATTATAAACTATTGTAATTTATAATAGATTGTCTTTTTGTGTCAGTCGACTCCTGATCCACATTCAGTGCAAGGTTCTAGAACTCTAAGAATAAACTAAGTGGGTCGTGATATAAGACGCGATGATTGATGGTTCGTTTCAACGACTATTCATCATTGTTACTTCCTCAAAATATAAGGAAACGTCGAAACGACGATGAAGTTCATCGCAAAATAAAGTTGTAGCAAGTATTTATATTTTTTTTTCGTTTTTCTAAGTCAAGTCAAGAACACACAAAAATCACTCCGTATGTGAAAATTACATCTTGTGACGCCATTTTGAAAAATATCCCAGTTGGGTTGGCAGTAAAAATAGTTTTTAGTTATTTTGCAATGTAGGACCAAGAGGAGTTCAACAAAGTAAGGAAACGAAATAAATGTGTCTAACAGTTCTCGGCTAGCTGTATCAGCGACTTCGTCAGAGCTATAGTTAATAGTTACTTTGCCTCTAGCCTTCCTCGATAAATGCTCTAATCAACATAATTTTTCAATTCGAACCGGTAGTTCCTGAGATTAGCGCGTCCAATCAAACAAACTGTTCAGCTTTATATATTAGTATAGATCTAACATTGTTTTTCTTTTATTTACGGATATATATATGTTTTTACCCAGTTTAGCGTCAAGGAAGTATCCCAGCATACACCGCAGCACAGCCTGATGTCCGACAACAACGACATTGTCTTCGTCCTCCAAAGCGGAGAGGACTGGACGAAGCCTCGTCATGATATCGATGTAGGATTCTCCCCACGGGTATCTGTAGCGAAGTTTGTCTTGGTCGCGCCAGGCGAACTCCTGGGGGAACCGCTCTTGCATCTCTTCGTATGTGAGGCCCTCGCAAATGCCCTGTTGACAGGAATTGAAAGTTAAATTATTGAAATCTTCAGCATAAAAAAAATAGTTTCGGAACTCTTCTAGTTCCTATCGAAGTTCCATTGAAAGGAAATGTACCAGAGGTAACAAATTTATTTCTGAACTAAATAATGATTTGATCGTCTTTTATCTTGTAACATCGCCAATTGGCGAACTTTCATACTTCTAACACGAGCGTTAAATAATATTGAAGTTTGATGATAAAACAGAGAATTAATTATTTTAAAGTTTATTCGACAGTTTTAACATCAAGACGTTGAGAGATTTCTATTATGCGTCATTTAGTATCTACCAATTGAGCAAACACGTTAATTAATTATTTTTCATAATTTTAATTTCTGCTTATATAACAAACACTAACCATCTAACATATAAGACTATCATTTAATGCTGTCACATATCTATCTCTTAATGCATTCGCAAACAGCTGATACATTATCAGATAGGAAAATTATTATTTTAATGTCCTCATTTTTATTAAACAATTAATAACGCCGTGTTTCATCGATACTTGCTTGTATCGTGCCTACGATATTTATCGCAAAACAAGGAAGCGATTATCATTTTTATGATAATTTAAATAAACAATTAGAAGTGGCGTCAATCGTGTCCACCCGTAACAATTGCTCGTAAGTAATATGTTTACGAATGCATCGCGTAAACAAAAGAATCATGACAATAACGATTTATGAAACGCGATGTTTTCTAGTCTTAGTCAGGCTATTAACAAGAAACTCTCAATTAAATCGGCTTCAGCAAAATGTACTTTATCGCAAAAGATCGAAGGTTGCAACTTTGTGATGAAAAGAAGAAGGTTTGACATTTCCTTAGTACAAAACAGCATTATATTTATTAACTCAATAGCTATATGTATGATTAGAGGTTTAACACTCAAAACAACGTGGAATCAACTAAAACCCGTGTAATGCCCACCCCCCCCCCCCCCCCCACCACACCCACCCCCCCCCAGGGCCGCGGGGGGGGGGGGCCCCCCCCCCCCCCCCCCCCCCCCCCCCCCCCCCCCCCCCCCCCCCCCCCCCCCGCGCGGGGGCAAAAAAGGGGGGGGGGGGGGGGGAAAACCCCCCCCCCCCCCCCCCCCCCCTTTTTTTGGGGGTCCCCCCCCCCCCCCCCCCCAAAAAAAAAAAAAAAAAAAAAAAAAAAAAAAAAAATGGAAAAAAACCCCCCCGGGGGCCCCCCCCCCCCAAAACCCCTGGGGGGAGTTTCTGGGAGGCGCCTCGCGAGTCTGGAGCCGCCATTACAGTCAATACTATCTTACAGACAGGAAACAATAAATTCTAATAGATAAACGAGTCGCGTGTGGTAGATGTCAAGAATGAGGTTGTTGGATGGCATAAATAAAATGATGAATATGTACGTTACACTAATATACGAAATTATCGCTGATGTATTTAAAATATCATAACCAATCAATCCGAGTTTAATTGTACACGGGCGCGTTGATATTTCCAAGGGATTGTAGAGTGAAATAGCAAATAATCTACTAAACGTTTTTGTTAATAGTAATTATAATTTAAGTAATGATTAATTTTCTCTTAAATTTTAGCAGTACAATTATAAGTCTGTATTGTATACAGATTTATAATACTGCTTATTAGTGCAGTTACGGTCACTGTGAACTGTATTTTTTCTGTAATGGCAGGATATGTGTAAAAATATAAATAAATAAATTACGATATTTCGGCGCAAGCTTTTTCTAGTACAACATAAATTGTAGTTTGCCTGAAATTCGCACCTACAACATTCAATGCATCTAATGATTGTACAACTGATCCACGAGGCATTAAGGTAGTTCCCAACTGACTATCTAAAGATTTGTATAAATATTAAATGCTTACCGCATCCAGCTCGTTAAGAGCTCTGACAGCACGTTTTGGTGCCATTATTTCAGCGGCAGTCTGCTTGGTGCGGCGTAGCTCCGAAGTCCAAACGGCCATCGGCTCTTGGCCAGCTATGGCGTTGATATATTCAGACAGCGCATGCGCATACTTCTGGCCACGAGGAGAGAGGTTCGCGTCGCCTCCGATTCGTCCCAGCACGTTGTACTCACTCTCACCGTGCTGTTATGAAAATTTATATAGATATATTAGCTAAGGTATTGAAATCGTATTAAGTATTATTAGGACAGAAGCATGGGAATCACTAGATTGAAGGTGAAATATTCAAGCCCCATAACGTCTAAACGAGATATCTATCATTCCTATCGAACTTTTTGGCTTTGAACAATCGATTACGAAAAGCTTTAATTACTTTAACTTTGGTGAGAACACGTTGAAAGTATATTGAGTTCTTTTTGTAAGATAAATCTAAACTTTAAAAGTATTAAAACAAAAAATTAAAATCTAATATAAATTCAATGCAATCGTCCAGTACGGTTGTTTACGTTACATCGTTATAAATAGGCGCATGTTTATATTTATCGATGCAATTATTAAGCCGGATTTCTTGAGAAAACATGTTTGTCTAATTAATATTATTACGTCTTAGAAACAGATAAGGGTATCGCTTACCCGAGTGAAATATATCGTCTGTGGTAGCGCGCGCATCCCGGACAAGTAGCCGAGAATACCGGATTCCTTCTGACCGGCCACCTTGTGCGCGGTTACCGTTTCCCCCATGTTCTCCACCCTCGCGAAGCTTATGTTCTCCACAGTACCATCTATGGGTTCATACTGTCTCATGTAGTGTTCCAGTTTCTTACGCAAATCGTCGACAGCCTCCGCCTCGCTCATGCTCTTGTAATCGGCTGAGTAGTGCAATATTTCAATTATGTTTCTCTCGAGCAACCCCTGGTCTTCGCAGACGCATTCGATGAACAGAATCCTGAATCCCATTTCTGATAGACAGTAATCGTTCAGCTCTCTGCGTTGCTCTCGGGTTATGTTCGTTCCATCGAAGATCTGTAAGAGGGAACTCATTTTACTTTAGTTTTTTATGGAGGACGTCTGTCTTTCTAAAAAACTTATGTCTGGTTGTCTAACCATGGGGTTTACATGTAAATTTACAACAGTCCTATAACATCTTAATAAGTTGCGCTGTCGACACATAAAGTTGAAAAGATCATCGCTATTAAGTTAAGTGCCTTGATATAGTATAAATTGACAGTAAAATGAAGGATACAAATATAGGAAAGTCTCGTATTGATATTAACGTATTTCATAACTTTAATTTAAATATTCAATGTAATTTTGGTAAAGTTTTCCTATTTAAGTTTTTCAACCGACTTCAATTTCTATAAATCAATAATCGAAAAGATACAAAAATTACAAACAATATGGACGATACTGTCTGTAGACGTAAGTTTACGCGAGTAGTACACATTTAAATAAAACACTTTAACGGTTTAAAACGCGATATATTTTAGTTATATTTAGTTAAAAAAAAATTTTAAACAAGTTTAACAAAAATATATCGCGTTTTAAACCGTTAAAGTGTTTTATATAAATATCCCAACATTTCCGTTTTCTTTGATACGTAGTTTGTGTACATAAAATGGCATATTATAATGCAGTTTCTATTTAAAAGCACATCGTTGGTACTCAGCATTGCAAAACAGTTTATTTATATCTCTGTTGGAGACTTATTTGCACGGAGAATTAACGTCTTACATTAGATAAAGAACTTGCAGATAATAATTTCAATTTGTATTATCGTTAAAACCAGATCTTCATAAAGGTCAAGGCGATTGCTAAGAAAGACTAAAATTTTTATAGCATATCCACCAAAAGCACAAAATATTTACATTCTGCTGCTACAAAACATTCAAAATGTGGGGTCATAATCTAATGAGAGTTATATAGAGCCGTTAAATGTGTTTTTTTTTAATACAGGCCTCTATAATATATTAAGAAAAACATCAGCAAGATGTTATCTTGACACACCTATTCAGATAGCGATAATATTATAATATGTACCGCAAATATTGTTTCTCCATGCCTCCTTTGCTTATCTCTGTAGCTCCATATAATATCTATCACAAATTTTAATATATTATTCCCATTTTATGTGTTTTTTTTTAAATAGATCTTAATAAAGTTCACTAAATGAAAGGTGAAATATCCCAGGAATAGAACTTTTAAAAAATGCGCTTATGAATTATTTTGCTTATAGTCGAAAATCGACAGGCTTTTAGAATCTACGAACGGTTTTGTCACCCGAAAGGAACAGCCAATAATTATTATTGTAATACTTCTTTATATAAAAATCTCCCGCTTAACGGTTAGCCTAAATCAGTGTCTTTGGTGAAACTAGATCTATAACATCAAGTCTTCCAAATAGGAACCCGTCAAAATCCAAAGTAGATATTTCTTGATGTTAGTGGATTGTTCGTATTGGAGAATAAAAAAGTAACTTACGGCAACACCGTTTCCTTCCTTCAGCCAGAGAACAGCGTCCTGCACGGCTTCTTGAGCGCTCTGGCGGCGGATGGCGGATCCCTTGCTGGTTATCAGCGCGGAAAATGTCATGGGTGCCGTACAACGCCATGTGTCTTCGACGATACTCACTACAATCGAATACTGTAAGAAAAACTCTAATTCTAGCAAATGGCAACCTTGAAATCATACTGTCTGTAGTTTATGGGGGTTGTACATATTAAAATAAAACACTTTAACGATTTAAAAAGTGATATGTATTAATTAAACTTATTAAAATAATTTCCAAATAAGTTTAACTAATATATAGCGCGTTTCAAACCGTTAAAGTGGTTTATTTAAATATAGCCTAAGTCACCAATATGAGAAAACGAATATCTTTGTCTAAAATAGTGAGGAACAATTACATTCATGACACAGGAGAGAAAATACGTATTAAATGACAAATCCGACATCCAACGTAGACCAAGTCCTGAGAGGTTCTGGATTCGAATCCCGGCAGAGCAGAATAATGAATAATGACCTGCTAACTGATCGATTACTTCCAGAATCGAACAGAGAAATGGATACATAAATGTGTTCGCTGCATGCCTCACAGGAGAAATTGTATTTTATTTTTTAAATAACAAGTTATTTTCAGTAATTAAACGAAAACCTGAACGAACTCCCGACCGCTCTAACGAAAAGACCACTAGAATACAGAACAGCACTGGTCATTATACTTTGATAAACTTTAATTACCGAGTTTTTAAGAATGTTAATAGCTTGTCAACCGTTTTGTATTGGGCGAGAATGTAGGGCACAGTATTGTGAGCTTAAGCAATACAATATTACATGACAGAATCTTAGATATTACGTTCTTCTAAGGATGTCAAGGTAGGTGTCACTTGTACACACATATATCTGTGTATGGTTTTCCAAATACGTTTTATTATACATATACGTTTAAAAATATATCATTTATAATCATTAAAACATATTTAAATTAAGTATCATCATATTTATATAAATATATGTTTTTTTTACTACTAAATATAATGTAACTTTGACTTTAATTAATTTCTATATCCATATATTCATAATTAATTAAGTTTAGTTGACTTCTATAACTTATTTAATATTATTGCATCATTTAGCCTAACAAGGAAATCGCAAGACTGTTATAGCTTCAAGAACATTTGTTTTTATATTACTTATGACGTACCAATTCTTTGTTAAATAACATCATCGTTGAATTTGGATAATAATTGTTTCTTTATTATACCGAAATTTCTTGTGATAATTAAAAATTATTGCCAGAATTTTCCAAGTGCGTTAATTGTATGAGTCATTAGCCTAGACGTAATCTTGACATCTTGCAACATTTTTTTCTATACTATGTACCGTTGACATCTGAATAAAGCGGGAATGATATAAGGATTTTTTTAAAGAGAACGCCAGAAACGCATTGTTTGAGGGGCTGTGAAATAGGACAGCCCTATATTATTTGGTAAACATGTGCGCTGTCGACCTATTTTCAGCTTCAGACATTCAAAAGTCCATAGACTGAACACGGCATTACAATCTGTGAACGGTAGTTTCCACCGATATTCGATTTAACGTCCAGATTTTCCAGATGGAGTAATCATATTTTTTATAAAAAATATTTATCCACATAGATGTACAATAGTTTGAAAGGTTACCTTTAGTGCTCTCCCCGTTCCAGTTCAGGTGTCTGGAAAGACGATGGGCGAGCTGGCTTTTTCCTCGGGCCGGTAAGCCCACCAGCGCGATCAATAACGGCGCAAACTGGCTGACACGCCTGGTACGGAGAGATACTGTAACAAGATAACTTCCTTTATAATCTACACTGGTGGAATATAAGACAGTACTTTGTGGTTTTCGGGTTGTACTACCATCTACATCCCATATAATAAAGCTGAAGGGTTTGTTTATTTTAATTCGCTAATGTCAGGAACCACTGGTTCGATTGATTCTTTTTGTGTTGGTTGGACCATTTCTGGTGACTTTAGGTATAAAACTTCAGGCTGCAACCATTAGGAGCGAAAAAACAGCGGGAAATGTGGAAAAAACGGGAAAATCATTCCTCTTTGAGAGCTTCCGTTACGTGCGTTACGGAAACGGGTAAAGAAAATCTTCTTCAAATAGTCTAAAATAATATCCAAGGCAGTATATGTCTATCTCTAAAAATAATCTCACAAGAACCGTTATAATGTTAATAAAATTTCTTTGAAATACTTCATATGGCAAAATAACGTTTGTCAGTTCTGCTAATATATAATAAAAGTCATGACCATTACATATTGATATTAACGGTGTTACTTAATCCTTAAATTATGATTCCAGGTCAAAAGCTTATGTATTGCATCAGCAGACATCAATAACATGATGGAAAACTGACGTATAAAAGAGCACTGTAAGAAAGGTCTTATTTAGGACAGTTACCAGCTATATCCTACCTATAAGTATGGAAAAATCTGTATTACGCTACCTTCTTATAGTCTAGCTAATAATAGATATTTAAATAAAACACTTAAACGAGAGAATAAGTTACCTTGTTTGAATTGGTTAAAAGAATTTCATTTAAATGTGTACTACTAGCGTAGACTACAGACTATATAGATAATAATATAAATGAAAGTAGCTGTGGGTAGGGTATGGGAGTAGTGTATATTTAGTTCACGCTTCACGCGTTTATAAATGGCTGACGTAGCCTCATGGACGACATTAAAATACGAAAACAAGATATTGAGAAATCGTGCCACCAGTCGCCCGTCGACCAATCAGAACAGAGCTCCAAGCCGCGCCTTCTGTTTTTATAGTGAAGCCGTTGGTTTTTAATCACAATTCGATACGTCATCGCTATAATTTGAGCAACATAGAATTTTATCATACATCCTGGTCATAATGTTTTCATAGTTACTCAATTATATCAACATATTATTATTTTTATACAGACGACAAGATTAAATATTAAAATTCTACACAATTGTAGGTCTCAAGAAGTGTTTAAATCCTTACTAGTAGCATTTTATACGATAAAACCTTGAATGACATTGTTAATATCAACCTTATCTAGGTTAATAAAAAAATGAAGGTATAGACGCAAAACACGATCTAATGAAAACAGTGTAATATTAGAACCGTATTTAATTGATCACAATGTCCCTTCATACATAGAATTTGAAGCAAAAATAATAATGTATGTGTAATGAACGCCTAATAGATTGACGCGAACACTAACCAGCTGATTGTAAAGGCCTGGAACTTATGTACATACGCCAGGGATTTCTCAAAATTAAAAAAAAACACCAACACTCGTTGTTACGATGTTTCGTAAAGATGAAATTACGTAAGAATTAGATGACATAAAAATACCTAATGACGTGGTTCATGAACTAGAAGCTAGTTCAAGCAATCAAGACGCCCGTTCGGTGAATGTACGCTTGCCAATCCAAAGGGACTTTGTACCCACGCTCAGTTCTCAAGGAAACTACTGATCAACTCTAGAGCATCAAACACGCACTTTGATACACGTTAGATATGGGTTAAGGTGACCTATTTAGAAGCCACAATAGTAATCTGTTATATAAGTTACACTAATTAAAATTTGTGATGACGCTACGCTATTTCAGGCTACAAACTCATTGTATTGTGCTTTTATGTTATGTACCGTGTGCATGAAAAAAATTAAACTACGAAGGAAGTTTATAAAAAATATTTATAGATTCTATTATTCAGAGATTGTGTTGGTGTCACTGTCTCTAATAAAATGTGGGTTAAATTATGATAATTGTGAAATTTTAATATGACACCTAAAAAACGTAGAAATATAAGCTACTGTTTAGGAAAAATTCAACCATCGTTTGTTTAATTAAGAGAACAAATATTTGAAGCAACTTGAAATCTATTGAAATTGTGGTTATGTTGGTTATCTTTGTTTTGGTAACGTATTTAAAAATGTAAACACTTATTAGAGAGGTCTTAAATAGTTTCATTATTCTTAGCAACTTTGTTGTTGTTGACGATGCCGAAAATTCCGAAATAAATTCAAGATTCCCGAACGATGGAACTCTAAATAAACTGAAGAAATAAAATGCTGCGATCCTAACTTTCTACAGATCATATCAAATAGGTATTAGTTGTGATATAAGCCATGATTAAACTAGCAGCGCTTATGCGATCAATGGATGACGTCAAATCCACGCTACCAGCACGTGTTCAATGCACGGTGGATGCAGCCAACAGCGGGTCAACCTACGTCTATCGCTGACTCGAGACTAGACCTAGAGGTAATAAAGATTACACAATAATCCAACGTAAAATTTTCCTAACGTCGCAAACAGTTTTCTTTGGGAGGCACTTGCAAGATATTTTTTTTGCACATACAATCCTAATTTCCCTTAGTCATTACTTCAAACTAGCAAATTCGATGTCAAACCTAACTTTATTATTTAAATTAATTTAAAAAACGCCGGGGCAATGGGGAATTACATTAATTTAATTTGGCTTAAAAGACTAAAGTCAAAAATACCTTCGTGACTGTAATTTTTTTGTAGGTTTAATTGAAAGTTAGATTTTCTTGGAAAAGTTGACACTAAAGTTTTAAAACGCGATATATTAGTTAAACTTATTTGAAAATAATTTTTAACTTTGGCCCGACGTTTCGGATGCTTTGCAGCAGCCGTGGTTACGGGCAGACCGTTAAAGTGTTTTATTTAAATATGTTCTACTCGTGTAAACTATAGACAGTATTTAAAGTAATATTTATAAAAATTATAGATTTTTTTTAAAAATGGGAGAATTTTGTAAAACACAACCATACATTAGAGACATTCACGGAATGGCTCAATGAAAATACATCTCAAAACTGAACTTAGTAAAAAAATAAACATTGAATAAAGGACGAATAATAAGAAATTAATGTATGAATATTAGTTCGCTATCTATAGAAATTAATAACATATGCATCACTTAGACCGCCAAAAACAAAGGCAACTTTTAAAAAGATAGCACACTATCTTTACGTACAAATAAATCTATCTACTTAAAACTTCGAAGAAATAAATCATTTTACAGGTTTGATAAAAGGCGTAGCAATACACTCCCTCCACGATAAAATGAAATCGGCACATAGAGGACGAGTATAAGTTCATTCTGTTTTTGTTTTCATATATCACATAAGCTTTGGTATTAAGTAATACTATCTAAAAAGATTATATTGTTATTTCATACTTGGAGGTCTACAGATAATATTAAAATAACAGAATAAAGTTCAGAGGTTTAAGCAATTGAACGGAATTGTAACGCAAGAATTAATAGTCATTACATTAGCTGTGAAAAATGATTAGCTATATTCAAATTGGATTTAGCCTATTTGGGCTAGAGTTATGCAGACTTTTTGATAGACGAAAAAAGGTGACTAGTTAAGCAACATGTTCTTAACTATCTAACTATAATAAACAATATCTGATTAACGGTTTGTAGTAAAGAGTGGGTGTGGCCCGACGTCATATTAAGTTTGCACTGATGAACTTGTTCAAACTCAATTGCTTCTCGCCACTTATGCACTTTGCTAATATTAGTATCGTTGATAAAACCTTTATGAGACGCTTACGATTCAATTGCTTTATCGTTGAATTTGTTAAGTCATTTTCACTTATTCGAGTTTCATTGTTTACGGTTCTAATTTTAATATCGACCATATTGTTATGTTGTAGTTTGTAGTTTCCTTCTAATTACAAACAAATTATTATTTTTGTTTTCTTTTTTAAGTGTTGAGTTGCATTGTGGTCTTGTTTATGAATATTATTCAATAATAGTGTAATAGCAAGAAATTGATTACTTATCGGTATTGGAAAATGAAAGCCCGTGGAAATGTCACGATTTTCCCGCGTGATTCGGTGACGCAGTGGGAGTTTTCTGAGACCTCTGAATGTGATTTGCTCTGGCTATTTGCCATATCGTATAATTACGTTCCCGATACCATTACTCATTAAGCAATTTTAATTTAATACATGCCAAGGTTCAAAGACTTCATAAAAAATAATTTCTTCTCCGTTATTATGTGTATAAAAAGTGATTCTAGAAAAAGCGTTACTGATGGAGAATCAATAAGCAAATACGACCACAATTTAAACCATTTTATTTATAGACTTAGCCATTGTTTACTAGTAGAAAAATGTCGTTTACTTTGTTGGCGTTTTTATAAATAACTAAAGTTTTATATAATCTGAGTAATAAAGAAAAAAATACAACAAAACAATTAGATTTCCGACTCTTTGTTCAGAGTCAACAATCGCAACAATAAAACGCCAATTCCGACTTTAATTTTGAAAGTTGTGGCAGCTGAAAAATGATAACTTAGGCGTTATGAAGGTCATATAACATTTGCGACGTGCTGGTTTGAAGCCAAGTCTTTAGTGGAGTAGGGACAAAACAGGAAAATGTATAGAAACATACAAAGTAAAACTGTCAGCAATATTCTTACTTGTATGTAGCAGGTTGTCTTTTTAATAGCTCCTATCCTTTTCATAATAATGATTAGTAGTGCCTTGCCTATAAGTTTTCAATTTTATGTCAATTACCAATTTAACATAAAAATGGGAACTTAAAGCGCCACATGCTGTATATCGGTAATTAAATCAATTTGTTTTCATTGACAATGACCTCTCCAACGAGGCAGCAAGGTAGTCATGTTGATAGACCCCCGCGGAAATGAATGGAGCACGTCATATTTTGTGAGGTTCGGTGAATACTTCAGTTTCGGTGCCAAATATGTCAGATGCAAATGTACGACGCCAAATCTGGATTCTCATTGAGAAGTTAACCATTATTAGCGGTATTTCCTTAATGTCAATACTAAGCACCGTTCAGAGTTCCAAAACACCACTAGGTTTGAAGGGGGGAGCTGGACGAATTAATTATCCTTTATTGTTATAGTAAAAAGAGCTGTCATTACTCTATACGTTCTTTTAAGTAAAATTTGGTGTTGCAAGTAAATAGATTTTTGACATTATTTAGGCATAGTATCGTTCCGACAAACTTACCATTGGCCAGAGCGCAATGCAACGCCTTCTCCTTATCCTCCATCATTGCGTGGGCGGGGCTAGCTCCTGGTGCCATGATTGTCTTCCTCAACGAAGGTCTCCTCACTAGTGCGACTGTGTGCTTCACTCGATGCTGCTGCGGCTTCTTGCGACGCGTGCGCACTCTGTGGAGGCCTCCAGGCGACTGGCCGCCGACACCGGCGCTTATCACGGATCGAGCCTTATCACCTCGGCAGTGATTGCCGACCAACCATATAATAGCAGAGTAGACTTTGCAATATATGAGCCAAAAAAACAAGTACCAGTCGCCTCTGATACTGAGTAACGCCATTAACAGCGACCTGGAACAAAAGGTGGTCGTGAAAGAATTGAAAAAACTCACTCCTACCACTAGTGTAAAGATTATCTATACTAATATAAAAAATCTGAAGAGTTTGTTTATTTGAACGCGTTAATCTCAGGAATGACTGGTTAGAATTGAAAAATTCATCAGGTATGTATCATTTGAAAACATTAATATTTTTCACATGTTATTGCACATGAAGGCACTATATAATTTAAAAATCGAAAATAAATTGAAAAAATTTTCGACTCGGGCAGGACTTGAACCGGCATCGTCAATTGGTAGAGCAACAGCACGGAAAGCTGACGATGCCGGTTCAAGTCCTGCCCGAGTCGAAAATTTTTTCAATTTATTTTCGATTTTTAAATTATATAGTGCCTTCATGTGCAATAACATGTGAAAAATATTAATGTTTTCAAACGTTATAACTTTGTAATTTCATCTTCAATGATTTCTTAAGCTGCAAAGCATAAGACATTGAGCCTTAATACGCAAGTGTTAAGGTAGAAATTACATTGCGGAGAGGTGCATGTATCAATAAGTTGAAAAAATTGACGATGAGGTGTAGGATGGTAGCTCAATTGGTAGAGCAACAGACGGAAAGTGACGATGCGGTTAAGTGGAGTCGAAAATTTTTTCAATTTATTTTCGATTTTTAAATTATATAGTGCCTTCATGTGCAATAACATGTGAAAAATATTAATTTTTCAAGTTATAACTTTGTAATTTCATCTTCAATGATTTTTAAGCTGAAAGATAAGAATTAGCCTTAATACGAAGTGTTAAGGTAGAAATTACATTGGGAGAGGTGCATGTATCAATAAGTTGAAAAAATTCACGATGAGGTGTAGGACTCGGTAGTCAATTGGTAGAGAAAGAGGAAAGTGAGTGCCGGTTAAGTTGGAGTCGAAAATTTTTTCAATTTATTTTCGATTTTTAAATTATATAGTGCCTTCATGTGCAATAACATGTGAAAAATATTAATGTTTTCAAACGTTATAACTTTGTAATTTCATCTTCAATGATTTTTAAGTGAAAGATAAGAATTGAGCCTTAATACGAAGTGTTAAGGTAGAAATTACATTGCGGAGAGGTGCATGTATCAATAGTTGAAAAAATTGACGATGAGGTGTAGGACTCGGTAGCTCAATTGGTAGAGCAACAGCACGGAAGCTGACTGCCGGTTCAGTCTGCCGAGTCGAAAATTTTTTCAATTTATTTTGATTTTTAAATTAGGTATTATCATACCTATTGGTCTCGACCTGATGAATTATTCCTATTGAAGCTACGAAGAAGGACGAGAAAAACATGGAACATGTGGAAAAAAGGGGAAAATTGAATTGAATGTGAAAACGGTTCAAGAAACCAAAAAATATGTATGAAAGATTCTTCTTTCGATAATCCAAAAATACTTCAAAATTCAGAAATTCAATTCAATTCATTCACAGTTCAATAGCAAAGAATATCGGTGCAGTGATGCAATTCTTTCTTTAAAGGTTACACAGCTTTGGGAAGCAATTTACTTCGGGCTTTGTGAAAGTAGGACGAACAGGAAAATGCGAATTATAAATTTAAGCTCAACGTTTAATTATGCTTGGTGCATGTTGTTTGCTGTGCCTCGATATGCTATCTATAATTCATGAGTGGTTCTCATCGAGCTGTGTCGCTGGTGTTTCAGTAAACACGGATATCACCATAAATGTAAGAATTGCGAAGATGGTAATGTGTAACTTCTAAAATATGCATTATAGTTTAAAAGTCTTTGTGGGTTAGGTAAACGCAAAATGGTTGTGTAAATTATGTTAATAATTTATTTTAGTACATAATGTGTAAAACTCAAAATGAATATCTAGTCTACTTCAAACAACAAGTATAAGTAAACTTTTTAGTTACTTAATAATAATAATTTAATAATAAAAAAAATATAAAAAAAAACATACACGTTTGAAAGATCTTATTGACTGTTATTCATTTGTGTTTGTTTGTCGTTTTGCACAAAACAAGAAACACTTGCCGTCGTCGTTTCGTAATCAACAAAATGGTACCACATATTGAAGCCATCATGTTAATAAACGGGCCGCCGGTTCAATTTCCATCAGATACATGTTTTTAAATGACTATAATTTTCTGAAATATATCAGTTTGAAGAACCTGGATATTAAATTGTTCAGATCCCCAGCGCTTATAGATGCGTTGAGTAAATTGGAAATCTGTGTGTCGGTTCCAGTCCGTAGATATAGGAATGTCCAAAACTAAAACAGGTGGACAACTTGTTTATGGTAGGTAGGTATATGACTGGGGTATTTGAACTACGATTAAATGAAACCCGAGGCTCGTCTGTCCTCCTTTATTTAAAAAAATACACGCAGATAAAACATGATATTCAAGTAAACTTTGTAATTTATAATACATAATTGATTATTAATAGTGAAGAATCATTCTATTTAATACAATTGTCGTGTCTTTTGTGTTCGTGTCCAGATAACCCGTGTGTCAAGAACTTATTCAAAGAACAATCTTGAAGTTGCTTTCTATCCATCATTGGTTTTGTGACGGCCTCGTGTTCAAAACCGGTTATTACTGGTGCCTCAAAAACATTTCAGGTCCCGCTTTACAATAACAATTAATTAATTTTCGTAATTTTAGTCAAGTAAATTGGCTCTGCGTTCAGACTTAATATTAGATAACCTGTTCTTATTAATGCAAATGTTATAATTATACACAGACAATGCACATCTCTCATGTTATTTTCTATTATGGATCGATGACGGGTGTATTTCTGCATTCCAGATTACTAACCATCCATCTGCCTGCTTCATTGTTTTTATTAACTTTGATTAAGATTTTTTTTAATAAACGTTAAATCTTTAATCTGTGAGTGAACAAGTTGGAAGTCTCTATTATGCTAGTCGGTCATCGTGTTTTTATAAATGCAAATTAATCAATTGCGTTGTTATTTTATAACTTTGTCTAAATGTAAATAAGGCTATTCCTTACCCGTCCCAGCAACTAAAGGGCCCCTTCGCAGTAGTGATCCGAGGATGTATGCCTTATAAAGTGAACCAAGTCGTGGCGCATAGCAGTGCGCCCGTGGATAGCGATGAACGTTTCAATACACATTCGCAACAAGTCCAGAGATGCGTAAAAATCCAATCTCTCAACCAATATTCTCCCCCAACATCTCACAGGGTTTATCACACAGTAGTTATACAGCTTTGTGCCGTACTTCAAACCGATGCACTGAAATAATATGCAATTCCGATAGCGCCCGCGCGTTACTTCACACCGGAGCGTATTTTGCTCATTTTAAATAATTAAACGACGCCAGAAATCGAATGTTTGATAACACGTTTGATACGCCTCTCTGCTTTATTGTCTGCAGGACTTCGAATCGTATAGATGCGGAATACTGAATGACGTGGTGCACTTGGTAAACTGCTGGGTGCTTGGCGAAAGTGTGTTGTAGTAGGGGCGACGGTGCGGCAACGTACCGAGCTATCGGAAAAGACACTGTCGTCGCGCGGAGTCGATTGTAGGTCGTACAAATTCGTAGACGGCATCAGCGCAGTGGGAGAGCAAGCTAGCTCTATCCTTATCGCGCAGGGCAAAACAAACATTGTTATATGAGTATCGTGCGTGCAAGTCTTTTCAAAGGCCTCAGGGATCCAATTCTGTTCTTAAATATATAAATAAAACTAGCGTCTGGCAACCAGCCTTAGAGATACAATAAAAATATTCACTAGCTTGTTCCAAAAACGTTAATAAAAATAAGTAGTTTAGTTTTAATAAATATATAGGTATTGTATTTCTGAATCCAGACTGGCGGAGAGAACTACAGTGTAATTTACAGATTCAGACCCCTTTTAAATAAACACGAATGGACCTCATGCAGGTCGACGCCCAGCAAAAGAAAGAAAGCAAAAATATTTATTGATATAAACTTTTTTTTTTATACTGCGTCCTGTCAAAAATCAAGACTGAGTTACGATTAGTCTAAATCTTTTGAATCAGTCTTTAAGTAATACAAAGTAAACGTGAATCTTTTATTCTTTGTTTTTTCAATGTATGCATCTGTATCAAGCGGAATGCGGATTTATCTTAAAAATAAACCACAATATACCTTTATCCTTTCTTTAATTTTAAATTATGATTTTGTGTTAGTATATAGTAGTCTCAGAAAATTAGGTACAGGTATTTCCAGACAGCGATGACATGTAAAATATTTAATTGTTTCTAGCTCCTGCGTAAAAGATTTTGTGACGCAATAATACCTACGCCTGAATAATTATTTTCCTTAAATGCACTTGAGGATAAAACATATTACATATTTTGATTGATTTCAAAGCTTTGATATTACAGTGTATGTAATGTATGAAAATAATTTATTTAGAAGAATGGCCTCGTATTCGTATTATTTATTAGTAACGTAAACATCATCATGCATCTATTTTTTATTATAATTCAAATACGATTAGCTACCATTTTAATTTGTAAAAGAAAATTAGTTTCTTTTGGGTTTCCGTTGCGTGCGCTGCGAAAACGGTTTTTGAAACCAAAAAAATATGTATGAAAGAATAAATGATGCTTTAAATAATCTAAAATATATCCGTGACAGTATATGTCTATTTATTAAGATTGATTCGCAGGAACCGTTTTTATGGTAAATAGAAGTACTTTGGTTGAAGTTAATACATTTTTACCAATAATTTGATAGAATTGTATCAACATATTAATATTAGTCTTGCAAACAAACAATTACGTTTGTCGGATTACCTATATATATAAATACTGTCTATAGTTAATATATAAATTTATAAATTTAAATAAAAATAATATTAAAATAATTTTAATAATTTAAGAATATATTTTTTTTTAAAATATATATAGTATAATATAAGTAGGCTCTATAATCTCGTGTATCTATAAACACGGCGGACAGAAGTCGCAGTCGTTAGTTAGTCACAAAATATAATAGCTAAGGTAACGTTTAATCTTAAGTTTCATTCCGTATTTCAACACGCCTATTTATGTTAATGATTTGCCTTGCACTCGTTTTTATTCTAAAGAAGGTTACAATAGCGTACATATTAACTTACTAAACTGCACCTGGAATAATGCGTGATTAGAAACAGTTTTATTTTGACAAATTTTAAATCTCTTATTACTGTGCTGAACCGAAAAATGCAGACATTGTACCCACTGCAAAAAAACTGAAAAATTGTTAAATTTCTTCGTTTACATCAATAAAGGATAATTCTTTTTGATATAAGCAGTGAATCCTGAAAAACCAACTACATCTATTCCTAACGAAAACTAAGACCTGTGTCATCCTCTGGGATTAGCGTATTTTTTATTGATGGAGAGTATTATACTTTGACTGACAGATTTTTCTCCACTGACTAGTAAAATCAATATCAATAAGTAACCTTAATTCAGAAGAAAAGAAGACGTTTTGCGACAAATACAAGTAAACCGGCAATAAAGGAGATTTTTTTACATTATTACATTTAAAAGTTTTGTCGGGTTACAATAACTTGTATAAGGGTTCTACTTAATATGTGCTGCTATTTATATATATATATTTATATATATATATATATATATATATATATATATATATATATATATCGAATCAAAAATTGCCATAATTAAACATCGAACTGGATTATTAACAATTCTAACACCAAAGCTTCTAATCGAAAGCCAAACAGTGAAGGCCAATGTCAAGAACCCAAGATCCGTTAAATCAAATCGAATTTCCAACAAAAAGTAACAAAACCTTTCACTCGAACTATTTAAAAGCCACCTATCAAAGCCTGTTCGTTTTAGCCAAGTTACAAACAAAGCAACTAATCTAATACGATTTTTTGCATTTATTAGCACGAGATTATTTGCAAATAACGTGTTGTAGTCATTCCTCTTAGAATCACAGATTTATTAATACCTATTATGAGTAACAAGTAATGTGTGTAAATAATTTTATCTATTATTTATTTAATAAAGGATTTATCTTTACAAAGTGACTATTAAAAGATCATGGAAATTAAATTCCTATGCTTTGCACGTGAGTACAGTTTCAACATTTATAGGTAATCTATACATAGAGGCTTCATTTAATATTTCTTTTGCCCAAGAATAATGACTTATGTAATCTTTTTACACCAATTACATTACAATTAAAAAAGTTGCTAACATAACGATCCTGCTTAGGTACCTAGGTATTCAAAATATGAGCATAGTTACCATAGATACCCACTAGCGACTGGGTAACTGAATATAAGACTAGAAATAATAAACTTTATCGCGAAAATACAAGATATGATATGTATAGTAATTAGTATTATGCACATACACGACACTTAAAGTGCAATTACATGCAACAGTTTTCTTATGTTGTATAATGTTGTGTACACTTACAGATATTTTTTTTTTAATTGATTGAGTTAAAATATATTTGATATAAAGAATTAAATCACAAAGATTTGAAACAAGAAATATGACAAGTGCATTTATATATAAACAATAACTTTAAGCTCCACCTCAAGAATTAAAAAATATCGTTATTGTTAGATAAAATAAAACTTTACTAATATAATTAGAAATATTTATTTTTTGTGCATAATATAGTGACAATATCGACTACTATTAGAAAGCAATAAAAATTTTATCTGATAGAATATTACAGAATTTGTTACTTCAAACAGCACTTACTAACTATAAGGTCTGCTTAAGATAAAAGTCTGAAATAATACGTAATCATTCAATACTTTATTTTATTTTTCTTTTGCTGTTTTTCCATTTCTTATTCTTAAAAAAAGGTTCTTATCTTGTAAAACGTGAAATGTTCGTATTGATACATGTCAATTGTCAAACACAACTTATATGTCAATTACTGTCTAAATTGATAAAATCAAGAAATTGAATATTGCCTTCTGTCATTATTGTTACGAAATTTAAAAACACGTGAAATACAATAAATGGTTAATTCTCGATTTTGTAATTTAATATTTATAGTTTACATTAATTCAACGGCTATATGAGTTAGATTATATTGTTTCATGTTTCCGTAATATTTTATCCATGACTTCAATGCTATTGAACGTATGGTGAATCAGGTAATAGCCGTAATTAAATGTATATTTACTGCATATTTTTAATCTTGTTCATATATAATTAATTAAAAAGTCGCTTAGGGTATGACTTTGTGATTTTTTTGAATAAAAGAAAAATGTAAAATACTGTCTATAGTTTACGCGAGTAGTACACTTTTAAATAAACACTTAATGAAATAAAAATGAATTTTAAGTAAGATTAATATATCGCGTTTTAAACCGTTAAAGTGTTTTATTTAAAAGAAAAATGTGTTAATCGCAGTTTCTACATCTTAATAGGCATATTAACCAATAATTCTATTGATACACTTACCAAACAAAGGATTCTTTATCACAAGAAGATCTAAAAGACATTGACCTAAAAACTTGTTACTTAAGACTTCCTTGTATATATATCATGAACACGAATCATTTACATCGTTTTCAGTATTAATTATGAGTGAAAAGGGCACTGCACAATCTCTGGATCTAGAGAATTGGATGAGAAAACTGCCTGATGAAATAAGAAATTTTCCATTTATATACTTAGCCATACCTGGTATGAATAAAACTTTTCTATTTTTTTGATATTAACAATTTTCACTAAGTCCCAAGATCATTTATGTGATTATTCCGCTTTGTGATACTACACATTTCGTGAATAGTATGAGTACTGGAAAGGAGTATATCTTTAGATGTAGTAAGCTAATTTTAGTGTATTATTGTTGCCCAAAGATATTGTAGGACCAAATGTCTAATGATAACCATATTAGTAAATGAAAGACATATGTCTTTCATTTATTGATATGGAAAAATTAATATTAATTAAATATTGATTATTGCTAAATTTTACGAATCAGGCAAGACGACTGGCACTCCATGCTGTTGCTCTGTGTATGGAATGCTGTGGATGTAGACTCAAGTCCTGCCTGAGTTGTAATTTTTAAAATGTATAATAGCTTTTTAATTTATGTAGTGCTATCATGTGCAATAAAATGTGATAAATATTAAAGTTTTTAAAAGTAATATTGATTGGTTATTCATTAAAATTTTTATATTTTTTGTGTAATATATATTTTGTCTGTCAATATTTTATTTATTTCAGGCAGCCATGATTCCATGACATATGGCATAACAAGATCTAGTGGTTTAGCACCCGATGCTGAACCAATTCTCAAAAGATTGTACCCTTTGTTCAAAGGTACGATACTAAGATGGACTATTACTCAGAGCATAGATGCTTACCAACAACTTCTTATAGGGATTAGGTATTTCATTATTTATATGTTGTATTTATTGTATGTTGTAATTATTGTATTGACCCTTTGATTATACATATTATGTTTAAAAATCATTTATATGAAATGCATTAGGTATCTGACTCACTACATATAAATTATTTTAAATAGATACTTAATATTATTATAATTATACTTATATACTTAAGTTTATAAAAAGTACCAACAAAACGGACACTAAATAATGACCTCAACATTCATATTCAACTTGTAAAAAATCATACAAGATTTTTTCTTTGCTATATGAAGTCCATAATGATGTAATGTTTTTAAAAATCTTTTTTTAATATTCCAGATATTTTGACTTAAGACTAGCTACAAAAACAGGTGTTGAAAGTTTTTATTTCACACATGGTGTTTACGCTGGAGAAATATCAGAACCATTACATCAGATTAAGGAGTTTATTGATTCACATCCAGGAGAGGTAATTAATAACAATTACGATGTTTGCTATCTTTGTGAAATGTTAAAAATAATTTTAACAATCATTTGGGATATTAATGAGTTTCTCAATTTTTAGGTTGTAATATTAGATTTGCAACACTTCTATGGATTCACTGCAGATGACCACCGAAAATTAATGAGATATTTACTGAGCATGTTTGGACCTAAATTGGTACCACGGAAGCAAGATCTACAATCTATAACTTTAAACTCGCTACAGAGGCTAGGACAACAGGTAGTTCTTTTATATGTTGTGATGTATATATAAAAATATAGTCTTTATAAGACATAATACAGGAAATATTTATCATCAGGTTGTTGTTGTCTATCGAAATCCATCAGTGCAAGCCAGTGGTGAATTCTGGCAACCGCAAATGTTGCCTTCACCATGGCCGCAGCAGGACAGTATTAATGGCCTTGTGCAATTTCTGAAGAATGTAAAGAGGCACCCCAACATGGGGTTTGTTCATCAAGCTGTTTTGACTCCTACACCTACATTTATTTTATTCAGGTATGTATGTAACCTGTTCTTGTTGTGGTTCTTTACATAAATGGTTGCAAATTTGAATTGTGTAATGTTGATCATTTGTATATATAGCAATAATAATTTTTATAACATTCATCAAAAAAATATTTCAGATGGGTGTCAACTTTACGTGAAAAATGCGCAAAGCCCGTAAAAGACGAAGTTTATCCGAAGCTCATGGAATTCAGCCCTGGACCACCATCAGTCTCCAACGGTCTGACAACTGTCAATGTAGTCATTGCTGACTTTGTCGATTTGGACAACGCAATATTCTCTAAGACTGTCATCCAACTCAACTATAAATTACTCAAAAATACAGATTTTGTATACCACAATAATGGGTAAGGTAGCTTTACTTCGAAATCAGTAATCTTTATCATGTACCTGCTATTTAAGTTTTTCAAGTACCTAATTTTTGCAACCGAAAATGTGATATTTTTTCTATTAATTTATACAATGATTTTATCCTTTAAGTAAAATGTAACTGAAGTGCCTTCAATAAAAGTACAGTACATATTTGAAAAACTCTTTAATTCTTTATGACTAAACAAAATTGTTTATCAGAGACATCACTAATCATGGAGTGAATACTTTACTACAAAATTCATCTAAGTTAATTCTTTCACACAAGTCCTTGAAAGACCAGGTTTTCGTTTCGGTACCCTGAGCATTAGTGTTATTTATTGTTGAAAACAACTTGTCAGATAATTCGTCTGAGATTTCAATTATCCTGCAAATTTTGTCTAGCCGTGCAATGTCTTCTATGGATTTAGTTAAATCTGTAATGTTTATTACTTGAGACTTTCTATCATTGAAATCAAAAGAGTTTTCAGAACCTGAAGCACTATCTAATTTATCATAAATATCTTGTCTGGTTCCCCGTAATTTTAGGTTGTTTATTGATGGTAATGGACTTATACTTCGTGATGGTTCATCTGATGTTAGCTGAACTCTGTTCATAGAAATTCTTTGAATGATTTTCTCGAAAATATTTTTATTCGTTTTTAGATCACTACTCTCATTTACTTCTTCCGTATCTTTATTTAGTATAATGTTTGCATCAACACCATGTTTATTTTCTTCCGAAATGTTATTACCTTTATGGTTACATTGAGTATCCAACGTGTCTTTTGTTTGCAGTTCATCGTCGTTGTTAGTTTCTGTCGGGATTTCCGTTTTTCTAATATTGTTTTGTATACATTCATCATCCTTAGGAGCTTGTAATACATTATATACAAATGCTTGTTGTTCAGGTGGTATTTTATTAGAAAAATATGGTGTGCAAATATTGTTTATTTCCAGAAAATCTCTTTGTTGCAGTGCAACTTCCGATATACTCGGAAGAGAATTAATTTCGATTTTATCTATTAGTTTAGTTTCGTAATCTAATTTTTTACAGGCATTTTGTGATAGTATAGTATTGTTTTTCATATCATTTGTATGGGTGTCGCTTAATTTAATCCTGATTATAGTTCCTCTTTGAATACATTGTTTATTTTCTAGGTCTGATATGATGTGACAGTCATTATGTTTCGGTTCGGGTTCCTCGAAATCGCGATGCATTGGAAATATTCGACTTCTACTATTACTATCCTTTACCTTCTCTGTGCCATCCATGTATTTCATTTTTTTTTCTTCATATGCTTGAGTAGGTTCTTGTATTTCAATTTTATCTTTAACTGCGTCACGTAACTCATTATTATCATGACTCGACTTTTTCAATAGACTCTCTGTTAAACTTGCCACTTTAGAAAATTCATGTTTAATTCTTCTCAGTTCGTCTTCATTTTTCTTTATTTTAGTTTGCTGTGTAGATTCAAAATGCACACAGCTTTGAAAGAAAGAACTCGCCTTACTTGTAGGTACTGTTTGTCGTGTTTGCGTTTGCGAAATTATATTGTCATGATGAAATGAGTTCAATGCTTCTTTGGTCTTCATAACAACTCGGCCTAATGTCGTCCGATTTGTTGGTGAATAGTGACGGCCTAAAGTTGTATTTTTCAAAGTTTTCGGGTGCAATTTTATTTTGAAACCGGTGTCTTGAGAGGTGCTGGATATCATGTTAGGATTTATTGGGAAGCTATAATTGTGCGGAACAAATACGGACCTGCATCTGTCTGTGGTAGCTGCCCTAGTTGGTCTAGGACCAATCGTTATTGGAGAGAAGCGACATTGGAACTGCCTTTCCGAAAATAGTATAATATCGATAACGCGACACGCATAAGAATGTTCGTTTTCGTACCAGCAAACGAGCTTAAAGAAATTAGGTGACATTTGAAAGCTCGATTTCTCGTCGAAAATACAAGAATGTTCCTCTCCAAGGAAATCGGAAGATACGGCGTCTTCATTAGATATCCTTAATATGCCCTTCATCGACGAATTGCTGTATTGATGTAAGCATTTTAAGACGACTTCCATAGAAGTACCCGTATTTATTCTAAAGATAACAATATTTATTATTATAAATATTTTTATAGATTGTATAGTTTAAGCAAGTAAGCATTGAAATATATATCTCCAGCAAATTAGCACATTTTACATCTTTGAAAGGTGAAAATCGTTACGAAACCATAAATGTTGTAGAACCGAAAGTTCGATAACATTGGTCATCTGCTAAAATATGTTTGGCCAGATGAAAGTTCGATTACCAGCCTTAGGAACTTTTTTCAAAAAGTAAATTCAAATAAAAAACCAAACCTTAGAGAGATATCCAGAACGGAAACATTAACTATAGGGACACGAAAAGCCAGCCCTGACAGTTTATCTCTAATCTGGGGTATGATTTTATTCAAAGCCTTACAGGCACCGGTCACTGCTGGTATAATGTTTTGGTGTATGCTTCTATGGTCTCGCCAGTGCTGCATGAAGAAATCACACTTTACTCTTAAAGACTACTCTTAATCCTCACGTTATCTGTATGTATATCTTTATAAAACGCCAGGAATATTACCTTTCCTCGCAAGCATAGACCATCCAACGGTTTTAAGGAAGGAGTCATGGCGTGAATACTGGTAACGAAGCCCTCTGTTATACCAAAGTTGTCTTCTAGGATTTTGATTATGGGCGCCAAACAATACAGCGTGCTTGACGCACAGGAGACCACGGTATCATCTAAATGATAATTTGGTGTTCAATCATACGTAGGTATAGCATTTCACCTGCCATTACCAGAACTCCACGCTTTGTCTATCCCCCTTTGCCATAGAAGCCTATAGAAACATTGAACACGGTACTCTATCGGCTTTTTTGATATCGTAGGTATATTGATATTTTTTATGTTTATACTCGGTTAAATGAAGATAAATTATCAACTTTATCACAATTTATAAACAAATCATAATTATTTATCCTTCGCATTCTCAGAAATTGTTATTAATTTTAACACAGAGATCAAAAGTGTATTTATAAAAATACCCTACCATATCAGAAAATAAATATTTATATGAAGAACAATTAACCGCAGAGCCTAGCTTAGTTATGGTACTGATAATCGGGCCTTAGCGATATGGGCTTTTTCTTTTCAAATAATACTAGGGTGGCCCGTTTGTCAAAGAGTAGAAAATTGCTTGCATAACACTTTCACATGTTTTGCGTTTCCTACAATAAGACGGCTTACAGAGATATCTTGACAAAGACCAGGCCGCCTAATGCATTCTCCTTCTTATGTGTTCAATAAGGCATTTAAATAAAATACATATATTAACATACCAGGAGCAACCATTTCCTCGTTAACACCGATTATCAGCATAGGGATATCAGCACTTGGCGCAGTGACTATGACGCGTTTTACACCGATGCTGTTCAAATGGCCCTACAAAGGAAGCAGTTCCTTATATCTATATTAATAAGTAAAGCTGAAGAGTTTGTTTGTTTGTTTGAACGCGTTAATCTCAGAAACCGACTCTTTTAGGTCTTAAACTGTTGGGGCTATAAAACATCGCGCTGAGACTAATTGGAGCGAAGAAAAAGCGGAAAATATAGAAAAACGGGGATTTTTCACCTTTTGGGTAAGTTGCGTAAGCTGCGAAAACGGTTCAAGATATACAAAAAATATGTAAAAGAATGATTCCTCTTTAAATGAAAGATAAAAGAAATGTCCGCTGTAATAGTATAGATAAACATATAGATGTTTATACATTTTCTTTACTGTAAATAATTTATCTAGCTTCTTAGACTGTGGAACGCTATTGGACATGGGTTCAAGTCCTGCCCATGTCGTTGATCTTTTGAGAGAAACACGAAGATCGAAGTATTAAGAACAATTGAACTAGAAGTCGATATTGTTTAGGTAACCGAACTTTACAATATCTGGGGGCTGGGCATTGGGTGACGCAATGATAAAGGAGTTATCACATACGGTTGACCCGATGTTTTTGTACTTTGTGGGTGGAGACGGCCATTCAAAGCACAAGTACATTCATACAAATACTATTGAGCAGCTTAGCAACAGCAGCTCTATTGTTTCTTGGTCTAATAAGTCGTAAATGAATTAAAACTCTTTCGCGGGACTCGAACCGAACCATAGAGTTCCTTGCTGCTGCTTTAACCAATTGAGCTACCGTGTCCTTCACGTCATAGTCGTCATACCGTCATGTGCAATAACATATTGTGAAAAATATGAATATAATTACTTAGTATAATTCGATGAATATAATAATATGTTAAAATTAATACTTTTGTATTTCAGCTCAATTTAACGTGTCGGCTGGAATTAAGAGTATATAATGGCTATAAGTCTGATTGACTTATTGCCATTATATATTTTGTATGTTAGTAATTATAGAAAGTAGTTTTTTCTTTTAAAGAATACCGAGGCCTTTTCAATTGTGGTGAACATTCCAGACGCTTCTATAACATACTGAACGCCGACACTAAACCATGGAATATTCGCAGGAAACTTCTCGTGGAGTACTTTGACCAGTTTTCCTAGAAGAAAGAAACTATTACGAATAACTTTCATGCAAGTAATATATAAGTGAAAGAGCTGACGTCTACCATTAACCGTAATTTCATTTTCGCTGAATGATACATGGCCAGGAAATTTTCCATGTGTGGAATCGAATTTAATCAAGTAACAAATATATTCCGTATCAATAGCTGGATCGTTTACAGCACTAATCTGGAATTAATTTGAATTATAGTTCCTTATATAGTATTATTAATTAAATTAGCAAATGTATATCTAACTTCAAATTCGGGTCGCAGTATGCATGTTCTGAATATAACTCTTCCAATTCTCCCGAATCCATTTATACCCAGCTTTATTACCATACCCGAATGTTAAATAATAAAATCTTTCACAGTAGCCTAAAATATTTCTTAATTTCAGAGACGACAAAAATTTTACTTAAATCTCTAAAATAACCTATAAGTACGTATGATTCTATTCACCCTGTCTATTTGAAGTTTAATAATTTTTACTTAAAAACGGTTCTAACTGTAAATACTGATTTTACAGATATTTAAAATTTGAATTTTCCGCAATCTAGCATTCAGACATCTGTGGTTGATTCCACAGTACGCATTGTACACTAATTGTTCTCCCCAAAATAGGAGGGAACTATATAGCAGCAGGTACCCTTTTTTAATTAAAAGTTTAATGATATTATGTTTTTTCCGTAACGTGTAATGCCTAGCATATGATATGTAAACCTCCTTAAATATTAAAATACTGAGAAAGTGTGCAAATTATGACATATATCTGGCAACACTGCCCTGGCGACATACATTTCAAAATCTTATTTGAAATATCCACGACACGACATTTAATTTCACCATTTTGCGGTGTAACTACGTGCTGCTTGTACTCATTGAATTACCTCACTTTACTTGGTAAGTTTATTGAAAATATTATTTATTATTCCGTTTTTAACTTATTCTTATTGTTATTTAATTATTAATTATATTATATCGTCTCAATTGCTTTTAGATTTGCGTCACAATTACACGTAGGTATTCCGTAGAACGTTAGAAACGCCTTTTATTAGGTTTTTTCACTGTCAAACAGTAATATTGTTGTTTTAATTAATACTATTTGAATTATTTCGTATTATCATCGATTAATATGTATTATACATTGTCTTTTTCGCTTGATTATGGTATGACCTTAAGGTGACCTTTGCTAGCCGGTCTATTAGTGAATCGAGAGATGAGAACTAGATCTACCGGCTTCATAAGTATGCTAGGTAGGTTCAGTATAGTATTTTGATGATGCATAAAATTACTAAAGTATTCCTTAAAATAAAAAGGTCACTATCAAGGTCAAACTAATTCTTAACTAAATCAATCTTTGCTTTTAAAAAGAATAATTGTATAATACTAATAATAATTATGATAATAGTAACTAATTAAAAACGTTTCTTTGTGTTTAAACATTTTGTACTTTTCTTATTATATTAGAAATTTAAATAGTTTATGTAGATTGGTATTGCTAAAGCAGTTAATGATTAAAGAAAATATTTCTGTTTTTACAGAACCATGTCGAAAATTGGTATTAACGGATTCGGCCGTATCGGACGTCTGGTACTACGTGCCTCCGTTGAAAAAGGTGCCTCGGTCGTCGCTATCAATGACCCCTTTATTGGCTTAGATTACATGGTCTACCTATTCAAGTATGATTCTACTCATGGCCGTTTCAAGGGAACCGTTGAGGCTGCTGATGGATGCTTGATTGTCAATGGAAACAAGATTGCCGTATTCTCCGAGAGAGACCCTAAAGCTATCCCATGGGGTAAGGCTGGAGCTGAGTATGTCGTAGAATCAACTGGTGTCTTTACTACCACAGACAAGGCATCTGCTCACTTGGAAGGAGGAGCCAAGAAAGTAATCATCTCTGCTCCAAGTGCTGATGCGCCAATGTTTGTTGTTGGTGTCAACCATGAAAGCTATGACCCTTCATTCAAAGTAATCTCCAATGCTTCATGCACAACCAACTGCCTCGCTCCACTTGCTAAAGTTATTCATGACAACTTTGAAATTGTTGAAGGTCTTATGACCACAGTACATGCTACTACTGCAACACAAAAGACTGTTGACGGCCCATCTGGTAAACTATGGCGTGATGGTCGTGGAGCTCAGCAAAACATTATTCCTGCTTCTACTGGTGCTGCTAAAGCTGTTGGCAAAGTTATCCCAGCTCTTAATGGCAAGCTCACTGGTATGGCATTCCGTGTGCCTGTCCCCAATGTATCCGTGGTTGACCTGACTGTTCGTTTGGGTAAGCCAGCCAGCTACGATGCTATTAAGCAAAAGGTTAAGGAAGCAGCTGAAGGCCCTCTTAAGGGAATTTTGGGATACACCGAAGACCAAGTTGTATCAACTGACTTTGTTGGTGATGCTCATTCCTCCATCTTTGATGCTGCTGCTGGTATCTCTCTAAATGACAACTTTGTGAAGCTCATCAGCTGGTATGACAATGAATATGGATACTCCAGCCGTGTCATTGACCTCATCAAATACATCCAAACCAGGGATTAAAAAAGTAGCTTATGTATCTTGAAGTTGAATGTTCTATTGTGATTGTAATGTCGAGATTACCGACGCTTATATTTTAAGTTATAAGTATAGATGTGTACTGATCTAAATTATTTACTACTTTGATAGTAGTGTGCATGTGTAATTTATAATTTTGCCATTTAACATTCTGTGTAAAACTTGCACTGTTATATTATCAGAAATAAACTTATTATAGTTCAATATTGTAGTTTCTTTTTCTGTGAATATACCCCTTGTTTACTGGAAATCTAATAAGTGCAAGCTCCTAAAAGAAAGTTTTATTTATCATTCTCCATACGTTTTAAATATTTTCCTTTTCCTTTGAATTTTTTCTTTTAAGAACGGAGTTCACTTCTATTATTTAAATTGTACGCGACATGTCTAATTGTATTTATTTAAAAATAGTGAAGTCCTAAGATTCATAGAGTTGTAAACAATAGGCCTTTGTTGTTATCTATGGTCTAATAAGAACTAGAGCTATAAAGTCTGTGTACCGATGGACACCTGTTAAGTGTCACATTAATTGACATTTGATTCACAATTATTATTGTGAATGAAAATTTTGCGACTTGTCTGCTTCGTGTAAATTGTGAAGTTAAAGTTTTCAAATCGTTTATTTATTAATGAATATGTTTTATATTAATAGATAATGGTTTTTTGTATTTTACGGTTACATTATAAATAGCTTTGTTTGTTGGGAAATACCAATAATTGTGATTTTTTACAATGGAGGAACTCAATTTGACAGAGACCGAGATGAGATATTTCGGGGATTTGTTTTTATGTTGCGACGAAGAATCTAATGGGAAAATACCGATTCTTAAAGCAACAGAACTTTTCAGATCTTCCAATATTGCAAATGATGTACTACGGCAGGTAAATTAATCGTCGTTTTAAAAAATTTACACCTTTAAATATCTTATGTGAGGAATAATCTCATTTTGTAATATTTCAGATCATGGATCTTAGTGTCTCACCTAACAATAGTTCAACTCTTAATCATATGAATAGAAAACAATTTTATTCGGCACTAAAACTTATAGCAGCTCATCAATCAAATGTGACATTAAAACCTGATCTGTTGTCCACACCCCTTGATCTTCCCTTACCTAGGTTTACATGGGCCCTGAATTCTGATGCAAATGCTGACTTGATCCAGCTGTCCAATTCTCCTAAAGAACAGCATATATCAAAGAGAGAAAGAAATTTTGTGGAGAGACATCTCGGTGCCTATGAGCCCATAAGGGTATCATCTAATTTATCAGATAGTGATGTACCTCAAACTCTATCTCACGACGCAGCAGAAGTTTTAAGCACTGACTCTGAAATAGAATCTGAGACCATGTCTCAAAGTGGTTCAATTGGGGTTAGTATTATTTTCCAATAGATTTTCGTATATTCCCTTCTGTTAGTATGAAATCCTATTATTAACTATTTACCTTTAATTTAGCATATAAAGTAAACAGGAAAGTTTTGAAGGTTGTGCAGGAGTTTTATTTGGCAAATAATAATATTGAATTACTTTTGATAATACTCATCATTTAAATAAAACACTTAAACGGTTTAAAACGCGACATATTAGTAAAACTTATTTAAAAATTTATTTTTAACTTCGGCCCGACGTTTCAGATGCTTTCCAGCAGCCGTGGTCACGGGGAGACCACGTTAAAGTGTAAACTATAGACAGTATTTAATACTCATCATGACATTTAGGTTATAATTTATTTTCTACCTGCACATGAAGCAGTTTAAGGTGTAGAAAAAATCTCTTGATCCATTTCTATGAAAGACCACTACCACTCTCTAAGCCTTGGTTTTTTAATAAAAGTAGTATAACATATTAACTCTGTCAGCTACTTAATTCCATTCCTTATCTGTATTCATTATCTGAACACCTGAATTATAGAGATATAGTAGTTAATTTTTTATATAACTATTTACCTCATGCACTATACACTTCATTTAAAGAATGTGTTATCTTGAAGTAGCCTACAATTTGACTGATAAGAGCCATTTAATTGTTTATTACTTAAATTCTTGTCTGATTATAAGGTATGTACAAGTGAATGTAAAAGGTTATATTAAACATAAGGTGTAAATTATTTTTAATGTAGTAAAGTTAAAACAAATATTTGGCCTGTAACCTTTCATTTTAATGCTATACAGCCGGGATCATTGTGATTAAAACATAAGACGAGAAAGTATTCTTTTTATACTTGTTGAAAAAGTATATTTTTACTCCTACTACTATAAATAAAAATATTAAAGTTATACCTTTCCTTGTCATTTAACCACAACTTTTATGATCCTTTACAGAGGAGAGGTAAAACGGGTTCACCTTGGAGTACAGCGAGTGAGAGCCCCACTCCCACTAATAGTGTTGCGGAGCGAGTTCATCCTGTTTGGGAGCATAGTGCTACTGGCCGCGGTGTATGGCCTGCTAATACAGGAGAGGAACATACAAGGCTCTTAGGTAGAATCTCGATAATACAATACTTTAAAAATCGAAAATATTTTTTTTTTAAATCGACTCGGGCAGGACTGTTACTGCATGCACTGCAATTAAAAAGCATTTTAAAAATAAAAAGAGTTTTTAAATTACTATACTGAATATTGTCTAATAAGCAGAATAGTATGTACTAATAAGGATGATAAATAAAAATGACGCAGTCAATATTAAATAGCACTTTATTATGGTTTTAAACTCGTAATATCTATATTAGAATTTTTTTATTTAAATTTGTACTACTCATACTATACAATACCACGACGTGTAAAAATTACAAATCTAATACTGTTTGTAATTTACGCGAGTAGTACACATTTAAATAACACTGTTAAAGGGTTTACAACGTGGTATTTTTTAGTAAAACTTGTTTGAAAATTATTTTTAACTACGGCCCGACGTTTCGGATGCTTTGCAGCAGCGGTATCGCGTTTTTAACCGTTAGTGTTTGATTTGAAAACATTAATATTTTTCAATTATTGATAAGACTATTGTTTTATCTTTTTGATTAAAATAACAAATCTATTGAGATCTAACTTAAATAAAATATTCTCACGTAAAATCAAGTTCTACATTGAGATTGAATTTTATGTAATTCATTTCATTTATTACTACTTTCTTTTGAGGAGACTAATAAAAGTCCAGGTGATTCTCCTCCGCAGAGTTACATTATCTAACTCAATTTATTTGACATAGGTACTGAAGAAGATTCATCCGACCGCCACTCCTCAGAAGAAGATGGGGAGGGTGAAGCCAGTGGTGAAGACGTGTTTACGATTAGCGCAACACAAGCAAGCCATTACGCCTCCCAGTTTGCGCAGCTGCGGCCTGAGCGTGGTCTTCTATCCGGCTCAACTGCTAGGTAATGTACCATTTTTTTGTCGGTGTGTATGTACCACCTAATCTCCTAAAGTACATATATTTTCTTTAGAGATCCGCGCGCCGCAACTAGGCTTTGTCTTAATACGATTTGATACTAGTAAAGAAATATATTCATTTTAATTTATAACGAACCTAGCGAGAAATAATTTATTTGACGGAATCTTTGATCTACTGGTAGCGATGTATAGCTATTAATCAACAGGTCGTGGGTTCGACGCCTGCCGCGTCCTACACGTTTCTTATTATATTTATAACTTTTCTGAAACATGATGGATACACACATACTTAACATAGTTGAAATGTTATATGGCTGTGGTATTTACCTTACAATTTGTGAACCTCATGCCTCTCTGTCCTATTTTATCATAAGAAAAAAACAAATATTCCGCCTGCACTCTCCCATGTTGCAGGTTTAGTACGTTTTTATTAAACACTATAGTAACTTCACTGAAATTAAAAGAGATTTTCTCAATCTCTAATTTATTGATTACAGGATGTTCTTCGAGAAGTCGCGCTTATCCGTTTCGGACTTACGAAAAATTTGGCAGCTAGCTGACATCACCAAGGATGGCATGCTAACTTTGGAGGAGTTCAGCATAGCAATGCATCTAATAGTGTTGAGAAGGAATAATATCGCAGTTCCTGACGTTTTGCCACCATGCCTCGTACCAAAAGTGGATTCGCATTTTTCACAACAGGCTGTGACTACCGACTTGGTGGATCTCGGCGCGGATATGTTTAATTCGGGCACTTCCGCTGACTTTAATTTTACACCAAAACCAGAAGTCAACGATCCGTACGAGACGAAACCCGTTAAAAAGGCAGAAGAAAGGCAACCTTCCATGTCTCCGCCGAAAGCGGAACCCCAAGTGAATAACAAGGAGTGGACTAAGTTCGTCGATTCGCCCACCTTCAGCGTCTCCAGTCCCGGGCCGAAGCCAGTGAATTTCGATTTCCAGAAGTCCGCTTTAGAGCGAGATCCAAAAATCTACCACCCAGTTGCATTGAGGGTGACGCCGGAAGCGAACACTCTACCACACGATGACCTACGCTCTAGTACTTCACCGCGGCGGGACGATATATCGCAAGCTTTTGAATTGACAAGTCCCAAACGTAACTCGAACGATCAACCGAATGGGAGCGAAATTAAATCCATTCAGCGTCCCCAACCTAAGAAACCGGTGAAGAGCGCTGGGGTGTTACCACCCCCACCGGCTAGAGAGTCGTCGGTCCACGCCGACGACGGTCCGCAGTCTTTACAATACGCGCCCAAGAAGGATCCACCCCCTCCACCGCCGCCGAGGCCCATGCGTAATCACACCCGATCTAGCTCGCTCGACTTAAACCGGTTCAAAGGCGCCGCACCACCTCCGCAACCGCCCCCCAGAATGTCACCTTCGGCCACGACCCCTACGCGCCGCTTAGTGAACCAGAAGAGCGAAGAACCCGGATTCCCCTCCGACGCTTTCAACCCAAAAAGCGAAGAGCCCTCTTTTCCTCCAGACGCATTCGGCGAAGGCTACGGCTATAACAATGAGAGCGCGCCAAAAATGCACGGGGCGTTCGAGGTGTACCGCAAACCGTCCAGAGAGTCATCTTGCGAGACGGACCCCGACGTGAAGTCCCTGCAGGAGCAGAACGCGGTGCTGCACCGCGTGTGTCGGGCGCTGTGCGCGGAGCTGGCGGACGTGCAGCGGGAGCGGGAATCGCTGCGCGTGCAACTGGACGCGCATTCGACCCCGGTCTAGTCACAGAGTCGTGTATCTATGTTCTAACGAACTGCATCGTCGTTGTGATTATCTTCGGCTATCGAAACTACTTTGCTGATATACGTTTGACAATTCACCATAGTACAGGGTAATAATTTGCAAGTCTATTCAATTATTACGTATTTCATAGAATTGATAAACGAAATTTGTAATGAAACACTTTTAAAGGTTTAAAACGCGAAATATATACATTTATTGACAATATATTTTAACTACCACCCGAGGTTTCGGATGCTTTGCAGCAACTGTAGTCACAGAGTTAAAATAAATTCTAAAGATGTTAATTCAATACATTTCGCGTTTAAAACCATTGAAATATTTTTGCTTTAACGTGTGATATTCGCGTAAACTACGGACAATACTTAAATTAAATTTTGATTAAATTTATTTAAAAAATGTGAATAATTAGAAATATTTTGAAAATATACAACAGTGAAATGAGGTAAAAGGTATTGTTTCGTTTTCCATTTCACGTGTTTGTTTGTAAGATACTTTCGTTTTTACTGAGATACAAGTAAATAATTCCTATATTATTTGCAGTACACAACCGAATGCTATGTGTGAATTGTCAAACTTATCCTCCATTAGACAAAGTATAAGTTGAGCCAATGAGAATGCAGCTTGCTGGAATATATTTACAACTTTGCCCAAGTTATATTTATTACCCTTTGTCTGTCAATAGACATATTCCATTATAATCATTTAATTGATCTAAGTAATCTCAAAGTTTATGTTATCATATTTATGTTAGGTTTTTAATCGCTATCAATTTTATCAATGGCAAACTGTTAACGGTTTACTAACATTTTGGATATAAGCACCTATTTCAACTGAGGCTATTTTAAAACGTTTTAATAACAAGCACTTTAATCGGTGTGCTTTTGCTGCATTTTATGTGAGGTATTCTTTGGATGTGCAAATTACTATCCTTTACATAGATAGACAATTGGTTCGATAAAATCTACCTCAAAATTATAAATCATAGTTTCTTCACACTACGCCAAAGTAGAAAGAACAATAAATATACTTTAAGAATATGCAAATAGGTCAGACTTAAATTTTAATGTTGTCTTCATAATGTGCTGTTTGGCTGTATTCAGTTTTTGGCCTAAGAGGGGGGGGGGGCAACTCAACTTTATAACTACCACGCCCTGTTTACCATTTTTTTTATGTATAAAAAAGACCTTTAACCCTACCTTTAATAAGCCTTTTTAGTAACGAAATAACTTTCAGGTTCGGTTATAAAAGAATCTGCTTGTTAAATTTTCAGGAGGGGGCAACTCCCACCCCTACCACCCTCGCCACCCCTTGGGTACGTCCACGATCCTGTGTAAGCATAAAATATTTCTTTCCGATTTTACCAATGGTTCTACAGTAAAACCTCTTTCTGATATGATGTTGGTCTCGAGGTAGAATCGCTTACATTGCATTCCTTTTTTGTAAACGCTTTGTAGAAATAAAAGAAACGCTATTTGTGAACGTTGTATGATATGAAATATTATAGATGTTGTAAAAATGGACGGACTACGGAAAGCTAAAGACTATGTGATGTGTTTTACACAAGATTGTAATTGATAAGTAGATAGATAATATATTTTGTCGTCGGGAAACGTATTGGCGAAACTTGAGCTGGCAACACTCGTTGGCTATCGTTAGCGTTAGCACATAAGTATAATGAAAATAGAATAGTTCTATGGAGTGTGAAAAAAATAAGTTGTATAATATATTAAGATACAATATTTATCGTTTATTTTAAAACTGTCGCATAACATTATGTGCCGTCAACATGTAAATATAATTTTTCCTAATGCGTTGTCGTTTCTACTTTTGTCTTTAAGCTTTGTAACACACAAATCTATATTTCGGTCCAATTTTTGTAATACTAATTCACCATTATATTTACCTATTATGTTTCTTATGAAATATACAGTAATGCATATTATTATAGTAGTCAAACTATGTATAATAAAATTATATTAAAAACAACCTGGTTTTTATTTAACGCAGTCGTGTACGTACGTTACCTTAATACTAAGTTTTCAAAATGGCAGACAGTAATTATTCTATATTAATACTAATCTAAACTTAATATATAAAGCTGAAAAGTTTGTTTGTTTGAACGCGCTAATCTCAGGAACTACGGGTTTGAATTGATTTTTTTTTATGTTGGTTAGAACATTTATCGAGAAAGGCGAAGATACAGCGAGACATGTGAGAAAAAAAGAGGAAATTATTCATCATTATGGGTTTCCGAGGCGTACGGCAAAATATGTAGGAAGGAAGGATTCCTACTTAAATAATCTAAAAAAAAGTCCGCGACACTATGTTTATCTTTAAAGATTAACTTGTAATAACGACGGGAAGAGACGCGCCCGATGTCGTGGGTAACAGCTCAAGTTTTTAAAGATAAAGGGTTTTGCAAAAACGAATTTGGATGCCCAAAATACATATTCTTAACGGAAGAAGTCGCTGGCGCAGCTAGTTTTAATTAATTCATAATACAAACGAAGATATATTCAAATTATAAAATAATAAAAACCGGTTAACTTACGGTTTACTTTTTAATCTAGTTTGATTTAAAATTAGGTTGAACAGTAGTTGCTATACTTAATTCATTAAATAAAATTGACAGTAACTTGTGTTTTCCACAAAAGTTACCGTTAAAGAGAGTATAAATTGTGAGTTAAAGGTCGCTTAACGAGGCTTGAAATCCTCAAGTTCCTCCAATACTATCGTGCATACCTGCCACTTGCCTCCCAGGCCTTTTTGTTCGTAGTTTGTTTGTCCCCGCACCCCCCGAGCCTCACCGAATGACCGCTCGCGCCTCGTTTTCATACCGGCGGCTACAGGGCGCGTTTGCATTTGATTCAGAACGGCTGAAGGCGCGTGCCTTAATGCACGTGTGTTTGTATTTCCAACGTGCGCGTAAACTTTACGATGAGTTTGAACATTTCTTGTGACTCGTGACAGTGTTCCCGGTAAACATGATGTGCATTTACATAATCCTAGTCGCCCTCACGATGAACGCGGCCTCCGAGGCCTCCGTGAGGATTTGTGAACCGATAAAAGTGGCAATGTGCAAGAACATTGGATACAATCAAACCGGGATGCCGAACTTAGCGAGGCACACGCTGCAAGCGGATGCCGATGTGACTCTTCAGACCTTCAGTCCCCTGGTCCAGTACGGGTGTTCGTCGCAGTTGCATTTGTTTTTGTGCGCGGTCTACGTGCCGATGTGTACGGACAAAGTGGCTCTTCCTATCGGCCCTTGCCGCGGACTGTGCGAGAGCGTATACGCGAGGTGTTATCCTGTGCTGCGAGGGTTCGGTTTCCCGTGGCCGGCCGAGCTGGATTGCTCGTTATTCCCGGTGGAAAACAACCACGAACACATGTGTATGGAAGGTCCGGGGGAGAGAAATCCGGTAGGGACGATCCCTCTTGACGCATCGAGCGCGAGCAGGAGCGCTTGTAGACGGCTAATAAAACCGAACAGTTGGATCTGGGTTAGGAGCACAGGTCGCTGCGCGCAGTTCTGTGACGCTGAGGTTCTGTGGGAAGCGGGCGAGATAAAGGCGGCTGAAGTTTGGTTGGCGACTTGGGCCGCGTTGAGTTTCGTGTGTACGCTCGCGGCTGTCGTGGCACAGCTGGCGTGCGGTGATAGAGGTGGTGCTGGCGAGAGAGCCTTGGTGCTAGTGGCTCTATGTAGGTGTGCTGCGGCCGCAGGATGGGGCGTTCGGGCAGCAGCCGGCCGCACGGCAGCGGGATGCGCTAAAGACTCCACGTCGCCGACGAGGATGCTTCTAGCACACGATGGCCTAGCGAATCCTAATTGCGCCGTTGTTTTCCTACTTCTCTACTATTTTGGATTAGCTGCATCCGTATGGTAAGTCTTAATTCTACAATGTTAGCTGCCTACTGTTTTTGTTTTCAGAGGATAGTTCTAAAATGCAGTAATATCTTTTGCCTTTTTTATGTGCAAAGGTGTCCATTTTTGTGTACGCTTTCACAAACAATAGAACTTTGCGAAAACGTGACAGCAAAATTAATTGTTGTCTTATTTGTATAAACCAAGCATTTGTGACCCTTTTCTACTATTGAGAATGACCATTGCAAATCTTTCTATAGCTATAATAACGCCTTACTACAATACATGCAATATCCGGCGACAGTACCTGCTATTTTATTGCACCCCAACTTTTGTCACCGATGCATTGTGATTGCCTAGTTTTGTCACTTGATGAAAAGATATTTATTGTAAGTTGACTTAAGTATTTGACAAAGAGAGAACGGCGATACATTTTGTGTCTAACACCAATAATACCCAACTTGTTACCTGGGTAGGAATTCCTTGGAGAGTGCGAATATTTTGTCTGCATACAGATTTAGTTATAAAAATCTTCTTACTATTATTTGAATTGAATGTTTAAGACGAGATAGTTTGAAACTTTTTTATTAACAACATACTTTTATAAAATGTCGAAACTCTCCGTTTTTCTTTTTTTTAACGTATCTCTTTATTTACTCAAGAAACAATAGAAAGACCATATAGTAAGAGATTAGAGTATATATAAAATAAAGGTGCATCCTAACAAATGTTTCACAGACTATTTATGAATAAAAGTTAGTTACAATAAAAATATATCTAAAAATATTCAATTATTAAATATAAACACAATAAAAAGTGGCATACAATTAGGCCAGATGAAATGCATGAGTTTCAAAACATTGATAACAACTAGCACCTAAAATCGAAAAAATGCGTTTTATCGCTTATAAAAATGCTCTAAAGATGTACTAATGTACATTAGTCAAAACTGAAAATACAATGTAGGTCGAACATCATAATACTTCTAAATAGAATAGAGGTTTTCAAAGAATCTCTTGAATTTATTACTTTCCTCCCACACGCAGTCGTTGGACTCTTTGCTATTATAATCTTACAAAGTATTTTATAGTTTAAATGTATTTTTCTGTTACTGAACTATAAATTTTTTAAGACCGGCATGGGGTTCTTTTAATGGACAATACCCCACCTATCCCCCCTTTTTGACTTTGGTCATTAGAAATCTTCAGACTGAAATATCAACGCGATTACATTCACGGCATTTCCATCTATGGTCTGTGATTCGTGACCCGGACTGAATGTCGAGTATGAGCCACATTTTGCTCTAGTACTTACCAAGTAGATCGTTATAACTTGAGTAATGTTGCTTGTTTACTAAGAACGGGGGTTATTATAAAGAGTAGAAAGTGGACATTTTGATTAATGTTCACGTTCGCAAAAGTACCTCGTTTAAAACTAAACTCCTAATTGGTTAACTGATAAATGTCTTATAAGCCAGTTCTTTCTGAACGTATTTCATGCCTTTATATATTTAGTAAATATGAACCCTTAGGACAAGTAACAATAGGTTTTGCGTGATTCCTAACTCCACGGTCTCTGACTTGCTGAATAATACTTTTGAGTTATTATTTGATATCCATTAAGTGCACGTACACAGAATTCTTAAAGCTAAAAATCGGAGATGTCTTCAACTACAGAGGCGGTTAACAAAAACCTACCATGGGACATTTTTACATAAATTATATCAGTTCAAACTCAAAGGTACGAGGAACTGCAGGATCGATACCCTTTAAAGCCAGGCTACCGACGACTTTTTGCACTTTCATCATTCTCGCTATGCCGTATGATTTCTTGCACTTAGTACTTTGTGATTTAAATTAGCTGCTACATGCCTCGCGACTTACATTTTGGATCCTGCGATCCTGGAAATATTTTTTTGGAACATTCACGGAGTGACGTCTACAATCCATACGGTTATAACTTACTTTATAGTTTGACGTGCTCGTTGATTCAGCATTAGCGACTTCGTAGGATCGTTTTTAGGTTCTACTTATTGCGCTAACGCATGTTTGACTCGGTTTAGAATTGCTTGATATTGATTGTGTGGTAGGGTCAGCTTAGAGAGCCGTAAAGTGTAAATCCGAAACCTACTTCAATCAGGATTTCTAAATGTCCAAAGTCAAAATACAAATAGTTCTAAAGCGCGTCTTGAAAATGTGTATGGATATTTCACCTTTCATTAAGTAAGTACTCGTCTGAAATCGTTTATGATAAATTATATGTAATGCTGAACTTTAAGGATTTATTTTATCGTTATATCTAACCACACATTGAATAGATTTTTATAAACAATATATAGTATGTATATTACACATTTAATTAAACTTAACATTGTGTTAAAGCAACGCTGCGCGCGTATTTTATCTAAAAGAATTACGACATTTATATTGTCAGCGTGTAACCAAAGAGTCGTAAAGCCGTCGCCCGGACGTTATTAATTTCTAAGAAAGCCAAAATTTTTCTAATACAACGGACTCGTTATGATAATATCCCGTAGATTTATGTTCGGCCGGCATTCTTTGAACTATATCTGATGGGCCCTCGACAGATATTAATGTTTCTCGTTGATAGTTGTTATGCACCTTGTTTATCTCTTCGTTATGTTACAGCTCGAAAGACATGGATAAATGTTTCTATATTTGTTTTCTTACGCGTTTGAGTCTGGAAAAATTATGTAATGACCGGCCTCAATTGAACGATGTATGTTTAAATAAAGTACTCCAGAAAAACCTTTTATTGTATTGTAGTTCTCTAAGTTTGTTTAGATAACATCGAATGGTCCACTTATCAAATTAAATGCGTGCATGCGATTCCTGTTCTTACGAGTTTAAAAGGGTGTTTTGGATACGATAAAATACTTCTACTTTCGAAATGTGTTTCCCGCTTTATTCTAAAAATACAACTATATCTATAGCTAACCTAGGTAGGAAATATCTTGTTTTTGAAATGCTGAAGTTAATATAATTTTGTATATTATAACTAATAACTATGCGCATATATTTCGTTTTATCTGTCTCCAAAACAAATGAATCGTTTGTTCAGAACCAGCAACTTGAAGTTCGACAAACTCGGGCGCCACCGAGCGTTCATCAATTACACATAGTTATCGCATTTTATTGACACTTGAAAAGGGACCGGTTTGATTGTTTACAACTTTTATAACGTACGCGGCGCGGGGCCTTGTTTAGAACTGCACCACAGACTATACTGCGTTACAGAATATAATAGACCATTATCATAATAACAGATGAGCGCGGAACGGCTAACACGAGTTCATGTTGTGGTTTCCGTAATGAGTAATGAAAATTGGTTTTCTGAATGCGGTTAATGGAATTTGAAACGTGATTCTTCAATCGGAAGTGTGTTCGATAGTACAAAATTAGGCTGTAATATGTCAGGGATTTAAGCAATGTAATAGACAAGCTGGTACATAGAGAGGAGAAGAATCAGTATTTTAAATAAAACACTTTTGACGGTTTAAAACGCGAGATATATTAGTTGACTTATTTACAATGTATATTAACAACGACCCGTTGTTTTGGATGCTCCGCAACACTCCTGGTACCCCCGAGACCACGTCACCTGACCCTTTTCGAGCCTAAGTTAAATAAATTTCGCCTTTTTGAAATATTTTTTTTATGTTTAAAACTCGCGTAGACAATAATCAATTAAATCAAGATAAAGTAGGATTAAGTATGCTATAGCTCCACCGATTTTTTTTGTTAATTGTCTTTTCTATTCTTAACCACAGCTGCAAATTTTCCGGCTCAATTCCACAGACTGCATTGTTCATTTAATTAGCATGCCTCCTAGTTGCTACCTCCTTGTATTAAGAACATAATATCGACTAGTCTCACACGGGTCACCCGAGGCATATAATCAAAGCCCGCTTCATAATTTCTTGTTTATTTTAAATTTTCTTGTGGCTGCCGATGCAATCTCGACACGAACGCCCCGCCTCGAGTGCTTCGCTCGTTAGTAGGGTTGCGCCAGCTATCGGGAAATCGATATCGGTATCGATAAATATGTACAAAATTGTATATTCCTTTATCACTTATGTTTATCACTCATATATAGTCAGATAATCAAAAGGTCACATCGAAAGTGTTTGCAGATATGATGTAGAGATAGAATGTGGCTTGATTAGACTTTTTCACGTAATAAATCTAGCTATTTAAAAATAAAACCTGAAAAATCTGTTTCAAGAAATAAAAGGGTAAAAGAACCAATAAAAGCTATTGGTTTTATATGTAAAGAGAATGATATCCTATATTAATTATTTATAAATAAAAAAGTGTTACATATTTTCCATTTAGTTAAAAAGTCGAAGTCCTCATTCGAGCCACAGCACTAAATCCGAGATTCGATTCTCCGCGTCCGCACTGTAATTGGGATGCTAATCAGATGTTGAACTCTCTCCGTCCCTGTCACGCACCAGCGTGCTGTAGCGTGTGTCCCTTTCGCGCCAGGATTGCGTCGAAGGCGGTTGAGTCTTCAATCATCCTGCAATAAGCTCTGACGGCACCGACCAGCGACTCGTAATCACTGTACTTTCGACTGGCAGAATAATTTTGCTTTTTAACAAGCGACGCTACAACCTTCTTGGTACTAAAAAACAAAAGAAAACTTGATAATTCCTATTTTCAAAAAGAATGTAATCACCTACACAGGTATGAAATTAAAATCGACATAACATTTTATCTAAAGGGGCAGTGATGAATTGCTCCATAGGTAATAAATTCACAAAAATGTATCAGTTTATAAGACATGTTTAAAAAGGCCGGACTGAGTTTATCAATTTTGTTGCTCTTTTGAACACTCTGTAGAATCACGACGAACAGACAAGACAGACATTTTTTTTTGTCGAATATAAATAATTTTTAAAACTTTACAGAGAATAAAGTAGAATATACTTACTCCACAGTTTCTCGTATCCATTTTTAAATCTACCACTGCTGCACAAGTTTCTTCGACATGCT